GGGTGTGGGGGGGGGGGGGGTGATGTTGGGCTTTGGAAGTTTTAGAAGCAATAATTTTGTCTTGTCTTGAGTATAGGGTTCCAATCGACGTCGCCTAGAAATCTAAACACCACCTGTTTTGAGCTGTTGTCGATTGATGAGTACTCCAACTAACAATACGGGTTCGAACTCACTGCACTGTTTTTTATTAGGAAATGAATTGACGGAAATATGAAATACTGATGATTATTAATCATTGTAAGATATGAATTATAAGACGGTGAGAAAGGAAATTGTTGGTAAAAAGATGACTGGTGTCTTCTAGGTCACGGGATGTGGTTTTCCGCACACTCATACATAATCCTAAACAGCTTGCGATTGTTCAATATCATAACATTATTAAAATTGGGAACTTAACGTCCACTGTTCTACGCCAGGTAGGATCGAAACTTGCCCAATGAAACGAAATTATTTTCCTACTGCTCGTTACTTTGTCCCTCCGGATATTTAACTTGCCACTTGAAACAATCAAGTTCTACTGTGGGTCTGGGAACACCTGGTTCGTCTTTACGAATTTTTACTGATCTTATAAAGATGATTCCAAATGAGTAGTTAATTCCAAACTGTAGGCCTAATAAAACGAGAAGCATGGCGTGAAAGAAAGAAATCTGAAGTTCTCGAGACAATGAGGTAGGAGACAATGATAAAGATAGACTCGAGTATTCTTCATTAAAAACATCAGTTTCTATAAATAGATTTCCCCGTGGTTCCGTCTAGTCTATTAGTCTAATAATCAAACTTCAACAATGGAATTTATATTCCAGATTCCACCTTGTCAATGATGCAGGTTGGAGGGGTTGACATGGAAAACGTGTCTAGTCGTTCGGATATGACAATAAACTGAAGTTAATTGCGCTACAGGCTGTACACAGTCCCAGATGACTGCACAGTTGGAAATATGTCCTGGCAAAATTCCCTCGATGCATACTACATTGAGTTGTCCGTCTTTATTAGCCCACATGGTGCAGAAAAGTAGGACGTAAAAAATTCGGCCACTATGGTGCTGGGTTATGTACCATTATTTTTACGAGCACAACTTTGATATGTGGTAAAAAAAAAACATCCACATGGCGTTGTTGGAATTTGAGGTCGAAATGATAAAAAATTCTCAGGAATTAGTTTAAGGCCATTTTGTTTTTTGTTCCCAAACGATGAGTCAAAATTGAGCAAGTTAATGGACTCAAACACAAGATAATCCTTGAAAGTAGAAGATTATAGAAAATAAACACTCGTCTTTCCTTCAGCTCCCAAGATATTTCTGTCTGATTGGACAGAGCACTGTTATCGTTCGCTATTGATTATACAACGTGAGAGTAAAGAGCGCGGACCTATGAGAGGCCCTCACAGTTCCCACCCTTGCACAGTCTGTCGTATTACTGAAGATTAACAACAGCTTTTGCGATAGTCACATTATAAAACGCTTGTTTTAGTGGAATTTCAAGAGCTGATATTGCAATTGAGAAGATCGACGCTACCATTGTCCCTGATACACATAATAGGGGAGTTGGGGGTCCAAAAATCAACAAGCCATTCTGTAATATTAGACAAGGAAAGCTATATAAAATACAACACAGACTGGGTGACGTTTGTTCATGATAGTTTGATTCAAATCAGACGATGCCATGCTTTCAATACAGTCAAGATAACCGCTTTAAGGAGGTCTTCACGATCCAAGTAATACATGTAAAAAGGGGGGTGGGGGTGACAGTAAAAGTTTTTAGTACGGTATATTTATTGATGACATGTATTTAAATACAACTAATATAACATAATAATATAGATATATACTGTGTACATTACATCACGGTCGCACGCATCACAGATGTCACACGCATCACACTTCGAATGCAACAGGAGTCACAAATGTGACACATTAGCAATGCAACACAAGAGACATCACCAATATGACAGCCATCACATCGGTGACACATCACGACTGTGACATGACGTCACGACAGTTATTTCTGTATCATAATTCACAAACATATACTAGTCTTATCTTAATGTCCTTAGGGCAGGGGGAGGAGTAACATACTATACTGTGACGATATTGTTGATATACTTTACGTGCCAGTCCAATTAGTTTATCAGCTACTGAAAATACTCAGTAGCAATTCACAAAAATGATTTCAAGATTTGAACATCAAGTCTTTAGCGTTCTAGAATAACAGTAACATAAAGAACTTGATAAACAAGGCTACATGGAATCATGAAATATAATAATAATAATAATATTTAATAAATGAATACATTAAACAATAACAAAAGAAAAAAAAATTGTCTAAAATCATAAATTTTTCCGATATTTTTATACATTTCCGTTTTTTTCAATGTTTTTATTAGTTTTAAATTGTTGCTATGGTTATATATGATTTGAAAAGCTAAAACTATAATATGAAGTGAACGCATACACACTATTATGGATATAATTCAGAATATGTTAATTACTTGAACATTTAACGCAAATTTGCTCATTTGCATAAATTAATATTCATGAAGTTTATAATTTGGGATTCAAATAACTTGATCCTTTGGCCAATTAAGAGCAAATTAATAGAAATCAATAAATGCCAATCACAAATAAATCAAGAAATTTTTTCAACATAATCGTAAATGGACGTGATTTCAAAAAATCATTTTTGCATAAATATTATCAGCTCAGGTGCAAATTGTCAAAACTGGGTGCAAATTTTTTTTAGCAATTTTAGAAAGCAGGATAACGGCTCAGACAAACTCGTTCATGAAGATTGTACAATGTTGTTTGATTGGTTTATAGTAGCACAAGGATCTTTCATACGCATGTACATGCGTGAACATGCATGTTGTAATATAAAACAGTTAGCTTACAAGACTGTTTAAAATGACTCAGAAATACACACAAATGCATATAATTGTCATGCACCAACTAAAGACAGAACAATAGAAACTTAGACCCCGTTAAATTTTAAATTAGAGCTCAAGGGTTTTCAGTATTTACAATTACTATCAAATATGTTCTAGTTATGTCCCCTTGGTTTGATATAATTTACAAAATGCCCTGTCGTACACTTTCTAAAATCCTCTGTAAATCTAGCTAAGTTCACAGTGAAACATTTATTACGATCAGTATACCTTTTTCTACTTAGTGTTACATTTACAGAGTCACAACTTCAAATTTGAAATACAAGGATAACCATAATATTCAAATTTAAGTCGTATCCCTATAAATGACAACAACGACTACGCATTTCTTCCAAGTATGATTATAATAAATACTCTAGACAGACGAGCGTCTGGTATAACAGTGACTACTATAAAATGGCTGGTATGATAAAGACTACTAGCACTCTCCAATAATTAGCAACTCTACGTTTAAAACATACATCAGGAATGTGAAAATTTCAATGATTTTAATTCAATTTTACGTTATTTTTAAAAACCTTTCACTTCAAATTGTATCAATGTGTTTTTGTTCGAGCAAAACTAAATCAAAAAAATTTGCCAAATTAATTCTTAATTTAGCTTAGTGCAGTTGTGACATTGCTAAGCTCTTAGAACTCGCATTCTAGTTATTAAATTCCCAAACTTCACAACTCAATCCATTTAGTTTTTGAATAAATTGAACAATGGTTAAGTTTTTCAGAGACATAATTTGAAGAAAAATTGTTTTTAAAAATGAACGAATTCCGAGACATACAAATACATGCCTCATAAATACAGTTATACGAATTCTGTGACTTCCCCCGATTTTTAACAAATAAGCCGCTATTAACAGCATCATAATTTGATTGGATAATATATTTTCTCTTTCGCATATAATTTACATAATTAATATACAATTCACGTTAATCTCTAACACTCTACATGTTGTAACCATAGGAACCCGGCATAGCCATCCCAGGTTGTTGGGGCATGCCAGCTTGAGGCATACCAGGTTGAGGTCCGTAACCCCCAGGGTAACCTGGTTGGGGTGGGGGCATCATGCCTGGACCAGCTGTCAACATTAATTGAGGTTCACCTGAAATTTAAAAAAAAAAGTGTCATCATTGCACTAATTTCATGAGAAAGAAACACCCTTAAATCACAATGGGACTCTTCTAATCAAAAATATACTGTTATATATTGATAGATAGTATGCACGTGTGTAAGAGTTCACTTAACAAATGCGGGGTGTCAAATAGATGACTAGCACATAATATTCAGCTTTTTCTTCAGTAGTTGACTTATGTAACACCAAACTGGACAAAAAAAAACACCTCTAGCACACTCTCGATCCATGCTAAGATCTAATCCTAGACCCGCTACGTCTTTCTGGCCAGCCCCAATCCTCCAGCACTCTAGGATCTAGGCCTAGACCCTCTACGTCTTTCTGGCCAGCCCCAATCCTCCAGCACTCTAGGATCTAGGCCTAGACCCTCTACGTCTTTCTGGCCAGCCCCAATCCTCCAGCACTGTCCTAACCTATTCTAAGATCTAGGCCTAGACACTCTAGATAACCAGCCAACGCCTAACTTGATGGGCAACCCTGCTCTTCAGACAACTAGAGGTGAGGCACTCATTAGTATATATGAGTTGGGCAATGTTTTGAAATTGTATATAATGAAAGTTGACATACCTAAAACAATAGGTCTATCTTCAGCCCTTTGTTCCTCTTCACTTCTTACAGCATCTGATTGTTCTAGTTTATCTACCTGTAAATATATAATTGATATTAGTTTAATATTACTAGATCATAGGGTTCAAATCACAGGGCTCATATTATTCATTTTAGGTTTAAGCACACAGACACCAAGTTTATCAAGATTAGAAAAAAATACAGATCAAATGTTAAGTTTACTTTTGACCTAGTCAAAGGTTGTATATTACCATGTTTATTATATTTCTTTTATGTGTAAAAGTTTGTACATGTTAACAACTAGTACAACCTGATAGACTAGAAGTTGACAGGTGCCCCTTTTAGTTTTATGATAACATTGACATGGAGTATATTCTCGCTTTTATATTATCAAACTATATTACAAGTTAACATCATCTTTGCTTCACCAGTTTCCTTTTATGTTATATTTTAGATTATCAATATGGAAATATACATAATTTAGTGAAAACAATTCCAACTGTTACAAAACTTCATAAGAGCATGATTCTGTTTAGCGTTACTGAGAATTAATTGAATTTTAGTATTTTTATGAAACGTATGCAGCTACATAAAACAAGAAATTGAAAAGGGTGGTCACTAAAAGACGTATAAATTCAAACAATCTATCTCCACTTCTACACTTTATAAAATCACGTAAAAGAGGAAATTGGCATAAAAACTCAAAATTGAAGTTGCTGGATTACTCATTTTTACTATTTATATTTAAAGTATCTTTGAGATTAGTAGACACACCAAAGTAACAAGTTCAAGTTCATACAGCAAGAATATATATATATGTTTTTGTACGACATCATGAAGGTTAACATAAAAAAACAAGGTGTCTGGGGGGTCAGAGTTTTTATTTTATGTCTTGCAAGACATGTGGTGTCTGGGGGTCAGAGTTTTTATTTTTGTTTTATGTCTTGCAAGACATGTGGTGTCTGGGGGTCAGAGTTTTTATTTTTTATTTTATGTCTTGCAAGACATGTGGTGTCTGGGGGTCAGAGTTGTACATGTAATGATACAATATAAACCAATGAGAAGAGGTTGTTAACATGGTTTAACATGACAATATAAGATAACTAGTGTACCACATGTTAACTGATGTAAAACTAGAACTATCAATCAACTTCTAACATCTATTGTTCTAATCTAACAACTGACAACATAACATTGTAGTACATTGTAACAAATATATATCATAGTTTACATGGTGTAGTCTGGGTATTTTGGGGCATTTTCAAAAAAGATTTCCTAATTCTTTAAGGCTTCTGAACATGACAAGTTTAGAAAACCTCCTTAGAGTCAGAACTTTTATTTATCTTTTTACTTCACTATGATTAATTTGATTGATATCCTAAATTATTGTTTACAAAAACAGAAGAGACAACCTTTCATAATAAATGTTAAATTTTGAAACTTAATATTATAGCTTGAATAAAGGATTGACCATTATAGTGGACAATGGCAATCTAACTTCAGCTTGTGAAATACGACACCCTAATAAGCCACCCCTAATACTGCTATAAGCCAGGACTATACCCCAGTAAGCTCCCCTAGAGTTATTATATTGTTATCACCATTGTCCACTACCAATATAGGTCAACTTATAATTACTTTGTTTACTTGACCAGTTTTATCAAATCGTGTCACAAGATTTCAGGGACAATTGAGAGATTTTATGAAGAATGATCTAATTATTGGTCACATTTGAAGTTTTAACCAAATTTTGTGTTTTACATTGGCTCTATTTAGGTTTAGCTAAGTAAATCCAAATTTTCACCAAAAAGGTTTCTTAAACTCTGTTCATAATAAGCCAAATTTAATGCAAAATTATCTTCAATTACAAAGTCAAAAATTCAAATTGCATGCAGATATGGTCTAACTTTTGTTCCATTTTTTCACTATACCCATTCCATCCAATTATCAATTTCATTTTGTGGAAAACAGGAAAGTTCCATTCATTGTTTTGTTTCCATAAATACGTAAAGCATCTTGCCCAACTTTCAAGGTCCAAAAGACATGTTATGGCCACACCTAGATGCCAAAATTTTAAAAGATCTTTGTGAACTCTCTTAAATCAAAAGTGGAACAGTACTTACTTTAGCAGTGTATTCTCTCATGACTTGAATCATATACGGCATAGCGAAATCCATGATATTGTGTCGCCATGCCAACTCGAGTATAACATCAGGTCGTAATAAATCGTAACATTGAAACAGACAGGCAGCGAAACATTCGTTATTTTTATTTTCCAGGAACCAGGCTATTAATTCTTCTGCGATTTCAACTTGTCTTGATTCTCCAGCATACATCATAGCATCCTGTAATATAGACTCGAGTTTTACACCCTATTCTGACTCCTGCCTGAGATAATGAACTGAAATGTGCTTTCTGTCCTACTTTTCTGCTCTTTATTAGGCTAGTGAAGACAGCCAACGCCATGCAGTGTGTGCAATGAGGGAAATTTTGTCAGGGCAGCAGCGTTAACCTAATCTTTTTCATTTCCAAAACTGATAAAAATCTTAGTTGATAGTCAGTAGCACAATGGGTCTTGGTTTATTGCTTCATCTAACGAGTGGATTGTTTATTTTCCCCGTAAAATTGGGGCCTTAATCTCGAAAACTTAACTACGAAAATAATTCAGATTTCTAGAAATAATTTGTGGACAACGCCCCCAAAGTTCCTCCAAAAATATGAAATATCTCACCTTAAATAATCTATCTTTCTTACATAAATCAACACTCTGTTTCCATCTGTTATTACCCTTGTATAAATAGGCAGCGATACGTCGGAACTCAATCAAATCATGTTTCTCTAGACGTTGAGCTAGCGAGATGTTGTCAAAGTTCTCGTAAGCATCGATTGAGGCTCTCAATCCATTGTAGTCTTCTTCTTCAATGAATAGATTATTCAGAGCTTCATTGATGGCCTTGTTGTTGTTCTTCTGCACGGAGCGAAGGTAGGGTTTGACCAATGGTATTTGATTGGCTTTCGTAAAGAAAGTTACAGAGCGTGTATGATCTAATCGTGGCGTCAGAACCAAAAGGAGGTCGTTTAATAATAATGGTTTGAAGTCCAAATAGAACTGAATAGCTTTGTAATATAACTCAATGTTGGCAACTTTCGTGACGATATCTTTAAATTGGCTTTCTTTCCATGCCTCGGTCGGGTGATTCATCATCGTCAAGATGGCGTTGTCGTATTCTTCATATTTATCATACAGGAACACTAACTCTGACCAGAGATGAGCTTGGTCAGCTGCTCGTAAGACCTGAAACAACAAGTTAATGTGATAAACTTAGAAAACACAGGCAGAGAGATCAAAATTTTGAATTCTTTTATTTTTTTTTATATTATAGTTTAAGTTTATCTAATTATCTAAATTTTTTATCAAAAAAGTTGTTTTATACAGGTCCCTTATTCTCAAAAACTTGTAAAGTCAAGATTTGAAGATATACAATAAGTTGATTGGATAATAAAACCAAATTTGTTGTCAGTGATTAACCAATCAGAATACTGGATCATCTTAAATTCTTTGAAATTTAAGTCCCTTATCTGCTTAAGACATTAGCGCCTTTTCTAATTCAAGGGAGATAAATCCAATTAAACACATGAAATTTTGACAGTAAGAAATGAAACGTTTGTTACCTTTGGAATGTTTACTCTGGACCAGAACAGCTCCAAATGTTCTCGCATTTTTTCTGGTTTATATTTCGAGTATAAGATAGCTAATTCTGTGAACATACCCATATGGGCTCTCTCCAAACCTACAATAACATGACAATCATGAGATAAATATAAGATATATTATAGCCCCAGGGGTACCTGTATCCCATGTTCGGAACCATGGGGGAGTATAGTTTACAAGTTTAAAAGATCACACCAATCATTATGTAAGTCCAAAATGTAGCCCAACTTGTATTGGTTAAGTTAATCTGTTCCAACTCTAGATGCCAATCGAACACTACAAATTCAATGTGTCAACATTCAAAGTTTACACTTCTAGTTCCTTCTACCTCTTTTTTAATTCTGTCTAAGTTCTGAATCATGTTTCATCTTTTTTTTGTGGAACTTTCCTTTGATTCCATCAATCCTAGATATACAGAACTAACCAATCAAGCGCCACCAAAACAATCGGTAGAAACAGGACTACATACCTAAAGCTGCTTCTAATAAGGAAATCAGCTCCTCAAAATACCCTCTATCTTGATAATAGTTGATCAATTCTTCAAGTTCGTCAGCATGGACCACAATATGTAACCCACAAGTCTGAGCTAGTCGGAATTCTTCATTATCCACACACGCAAAACATACCTACAGTTGAAAAGGAAAATGGAAATTATGGGCATAGGTCTAGAATTTTTACTTGATCTCTTTCAAGTTTCCTTGCCATACATTTCATAAAAATAGGACTAAATCTATTCTCAAAGTGTTCAACAATATATGGATTTTTGTAAATATTTTGAAGTTTACTATTCATGTCAGTAGTGAGATAAATCCTTATTTTATGAATTTCGAGTGATTATCTTTTTCTTAAAGTCTTAATGATTCAATATTCAATATAAATTATGCTTTTACCATACAATAAAACAGTACAGGATGAAAAAATAACGTACCTCCTTCCATGTTCTGGTACTGTTGGCTTTCCTAGCGCCGTCCACAGCTCCTTGGTATTCTCCGAGATGTACCAGGGTGATGGCTAGACGAGCATAGTTTGATACGTTATTATATAATAGTTTACACGCATCATACATCTTGTCATCAAAACATCGATCAGCTACCTGAAAATATCAAATATTACATTGTTAGTTGATACAGCGATTGACAAGTGGAATATCCAGTATTTCTACAGAGTCTCTTTAACAAAATAAGATACAACTTTTCTTCACAATCCAATACCCATGCAGTGTGCAATGAGAGAAAAGACAACAGCACTAACATCCTTGATTGCAATTTCAATCTGACATTAACAACAGATTTTTTCGGAAAGTAGCCTAAAGATATCAGACCTCAATTTTCATGTCCCATTCCTTTCAGAAAGAGTTGCACAGGGACATCAGACAAGAGAGTCTGCTTCTATAAGGGTCAAACTGATTCACAATAACAGAATTTCAATTTAAAATTATCAAAGCTAGAGACATTTTATCAAAAATAAAAGTAAAGGAAGACGAACCTGTGTAATATTAGCATGGTTAGGTCCCGAGATAAATTCTTCCAAATCAGCCAATCTGTTAGTTTTAGCGTACGCATAAATTAATTCTGTTTCTATATAGGTTTCTCTTGCCTTCTTTCTCGCCATTTGTAAAAATTTCACTAAATCTTCCCATTTATCTGCAACAAAAGACAACAATAGTACTGAATCAAGAGTTATTTTTTTTTAGGATTTATCGTCGATGTTCTACGAACTTCCAAGCCGGAACAAGTTTTGAGAAAGACTTCCTAAATTTTCTGCATCAAGTTTGCTAAAATATCACAAACATGTCAAAAATAATACAATAGTAGTTGAAATATTTGAAGCTGTATCTAGTCTGTTAGAATTGAACCCCAGACCTCTAGACAGGCTGGCTTATAACTCACTGAGACACTCAAGGTTCTTTAAGTTGAACAACTATTTCTTCTTGGACTTCTATTCACAGCAAAATTCATAATTAAACCCCTGACTCCTTGGTAAAGTCAGTCGGGCTCTATCACGTTTCTTTCTCTTGGAAGTTATTCACATCAAAATTCAAAACAACCTACTCACCACTCTTACTAGCAACAGACACGACTTCCATATATTCTGATGGATCATCAGCCTTGATAAACGAGTCTACAGCCTCTTTCATCATGCCTTTCTTCAACTGAGCACGACCAAGTTGTGACCATACTGCAGGATCATTACATCGTTCAGCAAACTCATAAGCACGATCTAAGTTATCTACATTATCAATCAAAACCTGCAGAAAGAAAGATCAATATGAGTCTAAATTCAAAATGTTTTGAAAATATGTAACAGCAAAAGTTGGACATAGTTTTAATATAAGGAAAACAAGCTACAAACCTAATTACTTATTGCAAAGAGAAAGAGTAAAGTGTGGCTGATGCAGTCAATATGCTCCCCAAAATAATATGTTCCATTGAATCACAGATGCTCTTTTATTTAGAAAATATGTGTATCAATGTTTTTGATTTTTTTCACAAAACCAAATCCAACAATTCTGGTCATTGCAATTCTAAAATTCATTATCAAAAAATATTAACAAACCTGAATAGCTGAAGTGTTGACTTCAAATTTCTTATAAATAGCGAAGGCTTCTTCATATAGTTCATTAGTTATAGCAATATTAGCGATATCTGGGGCGTCATAATTATCTAATCTATTAATATATTCCATAACTCTCGTACGATCAGCTTTAATAGCAGTCAAAATCAACAGATTCTGTAAATTTCTGAAAATAAAATTAAATCTTAAGTTGAAATTTGCTATGCAATTAAAGAAATCAAGTTCTAAAATATTTTGGAACCAGACTGAAAGCGTGCAGTGAGTGAAATTTTGCCAAGTCTAAAGCATTAGCCTGCTGTTTTTCAATTTTCAACTGTTGAGGGTTTCTCGTCCCATCCCTGAATGCTTTTTCCTTGTCAGTCCCTCCCTGCATCAGTAATGTAATATATATATAAAAATCAAGACGTACCTATGATCACTAAATACAGAACTTTCTAAAACAACCTTTTCTAACAATTCTATCAATTCATTTGGTAAATCAGCTGTCATAAAGGCCTTAACAGCGACAGATATTTCTTCTGGATCTTGGGTTTCTGATAGAGCTGTGGTACACACCTGTTATAAAGTACAAAACAAGTTGATTAGTTTTAGATAGGTATCCTTATCACATCAAGTCTATTTAGAAGACAGTATAATAAAGCCAATATCAGCAATTCTGCCATAAGAATATGAAAGTAAAATATTTAGTTATTTTAAGAGTCAGTTTTATTTAGTAGATATTGTTAAAGTTCATACATCTACTTTCTTAAGGAGTGATATTGTTTAACTATAGAGGGCTAATTGTTTCTGCCACAGAATGTATCGCAATCAGAAATAGTTAGAAATATAATAATTTAAACATCATTCAGCAAGTACCAAACAATTTTGTTCTGTAGATTCCATGTTCTAAAGATTCAAAGTTGAGCCAAGTTATTGACCTACAAATTAAAAATCAATCTACTTACCTGATCAATAAGTTGACGTCTGTATTCATTATTTTCATTGAGAACTTCCACCCATAAATCTGTATCCTTTCTTCGTACCAAATATCTAGCTTCTGATTTAAACAATGAGTTCTCATTACATACCTACAATCAACAAATTACATTCATTAGACCAAACTAATTACAAAACAAGCAAAAGCCAGTTGGACAGTCAGAAATGGCCGTCTGAAACTGTATCGCTATTGTCTTCACACTTTTGCCCTATGGTAGACCAAAGCATTATGATAAGCAGTACAAGATAAAACTATTTCCACTTACCTTGATCAGCTCCTCATCACACAATCCTCGTTCATAAGCGACACAAGCTAGATGGGGGTCACGTTTCTCACAATATTTACCCACAACTTTACTGTCATAATACTGATTCTCTCTGAAAATATAAAACAGATATAATATATGACTCACGAAGATATTTAAACAAAATATCATTATTGGCAACCTACAATAAATAAACCAAGTACTAATGATTAGGACCACAAAATGAAACAAGAAATCCGAAATATATTGATGGAATATAGGTAGCAGCTAATGAACTTAACATATTTGGCACCGATTAGAATTGGCAATACTTATTTCTCTTGAAGTACTTTTTGGATGTATCACTTGACCTCAAACATAGGTCTGGGAATTTTGGGATCTTCAAATTAACTTTATAGACGACAAAAGTTTCACTTACCTCAAGAATCTTTCTGGATTGTTGTTACTATCGATATATATTTTACCTAGTGCATTATGGGTAGCAGGTTCCGTGACACCTTCTATTATTCTATTTTCTAACCATGGTAACAATAATTTCAATCTGTAATAGATAAAAATAAAGCAATGAAAAAATAATGGTATTCGGTTCAGCACATAAGTCAAATTGAGTTACTGGTCTTATGAAATGAAATTGAATTTTAAGTCTTACTGATCTGCACATTTTCTTCTTTCATTTTTTGGGGGAAAATCCCTTTAAATTGAATAATTTTGATGAGAAACTGGACAGAGACCCACAAAATTACAAAAAAAATTAAGATAAAACCAAAATCTACAAACCTATTTCTTTTTTCTACTTCTGCAACGAGTTCGTCTGTTGAGAATTGACCCTTAACGACCATGATTAATTGTTTAATTACATCTTCAGAACAATCAACATCTAATAATCCTCCTACTACGACAGGTAAACGAGCTGGATTTACCTGAAATTCAAATTGTAGGGTTAGTATCCGAAAATACATTTTTCTTTCACAATTTTTTATGAATTCAATGGACAATGAGATCACAAGTCACAGCTACGTCCAAAAAACTGAAAAAATTTATTATGTTATTTAAGCAATTTAAAAGTGGCTTGTTCTTAAAACAAAATTAATAATCTAAAATAAGCATTTAATATATCTCCACATATTTCATACAAAGTCATTGAATCACTAGACACCTTTAACACAACTTGATATTTTGTGAACCTAAAGAGATAATAAACCCACCTTCTGTACGTAAATTTCTATATATTTTTGTAGACTGTTTCTATAGAGGTAGAGAACTAAATCATGAACGAAATCAAAACGATCACACACAATAATCAATGGTAACTGATCTGTTAATTTAGCTTCCTGCAATAGACAAAAGTAAAACATATTTCAGTAATATTTTTCTGTTACCATTTGCATTGATGAAAACAGACGGACAAGATCTAACAGCTTGCAATGGGCAAAATTTGCCTAGACCATGGCATCAGCATGCCCTTTTTAACTTTCAACTAGTAAGGGATGTTTATCAGGTACATTTTGTGGGTCTCACCACATCTTTGTGACCTGTGTTTTGACCTATTTCTACAAACTGTGTTTCGTTTAACAATAGTCTTAAATTTTGCAATGCTGGCAATTACGAAATCATAACACCATTTCAAGAACTAAGGAAGTTGTGAAAACATTGAATTCTTACCTTGAGGAAATTTTTGACTCGTTCTGGGTCATAACAATTACTTTCTCTACAAATTCTCTCTACTTCTTTAATCTGTCCAGTTTTACAGGCAGCCTGGATATATTTTAGATGTACGTCAGCATCTTGACTGAAGTTTACGATTGATCCAAGGAAATAGAATAAACCTGAAATGGAAAATATTATTTCATATTACACAGTGGACAAAAAAATCACGTAAAAATCAACAAACGAATGTTTAAGTCATATTTTCTTCACCGAATGATCAATATCGTGCAGTGTTCAATGATGGAAATTTTACTATTCTGGCCTAACACGATTTAACATCAAAAACTCATTAAACAAGAAGCCTTTGTAGGCTGAATCCCCCTCAAAAGACGAGGCAAAATTTTTTTCCACAATAAACCCATTCAATGGTCTCAACCAATCAAAATTCACTTACCTTCATAACTCTTAAAAGATTCGAACAATTCTATTAAATTCTGGGTGCCGAGTTGTTCATGATATTTCGAGGCTATCTGCACACAAACTTGTAGATTTTGTCTAATGTTGGCTTGTAACATGGCACGTAAACACTCTACAGAGTCATCGATAGAAATCGATCCAAAATATGTTACCAACCACTGAAATAAAGTCAAAATATTAAATTAAAAATTAAAATATGTGCACCCTCTACAGGTGAAGTAGACTCAAAAAGGCAATGGTAGAAATGTCAAGTTTTTCATCGAACAGGGAATTCTAATGGTGTAAATAGAAGCTATAGGGAAGGCAAGAAAATCACTTTTAAATCCCTTTCAAAATTCGTTTCCTTTGCCAATATGTCTGGCCTAAAAATGGAGTTAATGCCCCCATTTTCAAACTAGTTTCTTTATGATTTCAGACTGGAAATTTGTCAGCAGCATTGATCATTGATCATATATTACTAAAATAACAACCAAAATACTGCACGCTCTTCTCCCCTCATATCCCAGTGTAAAATATATAATATGATACGTACCTCAGGGTTGAGAAGGTGTGTATGAACTACGGCTCGTTTGATATCATATAAATCTGTATAATGTTCTAAAGCCTGTAAAATAACAAACACATTATACTACAAGCTTCAATTCTAATTCTTTACAAAAATATCGACAATTTTCTGTTTGTTACAGCCCTATTTAACACTTCTAATTCTGGGTTTATTAATGAAGACAGGCCATGCCATACCATATTGAATGCAGGCATGAATGTTTTCTATTCAGTCAGTCCCTTCAACCTACTTTCAGTCATCCTTTTTCACATACAATTTTCAAAAATCATTTTGTCTTCCCTTCAATTATCTATGACACGACTCCTTCAGTAAAGCCCTATGAAACCCTTCAAAATGTTTTAAACGCAGGGCTGAATAAAGGTATATTAAGTCAACTCATGCATCCAGATAAAATAATAAAAAACTTACTCTCTGTAAAAGACCAGCTTTCTCACAAAGTTGAGCGATATGAGCTCGATCGTAATGAGTAAACATTTGGTTTCCCAGAATGGCGTCTGCTACTTGTGGTGCTGACATTAAATTCATCTCAAACAGTCTGGTTTGTAGTGGGCCTTCAGCTGGTCGGTTGTTTTTCAAAGCGTCTAACAAGAATGATGTACATTGTTGAATCAAGTTGAATTCCATGAAGACGTCGACGATCTACAAACAAAGAAAAAAAATGAAATTTTAGTCAGTACCAATCTACAAGATAAAGAGATGAGAGTCATTACATTTCCTGTGTGCCCTATCTCTCCGCCATAGTGAAAACAATAGTTTTTTAGCAGTGTCTTATGGTGAAAATGTTCAAGGGTAGATTGGGCGTAATCTCATACTCCTTGATTCAATCTTGATTCAATCATCTGCTCAAATAAAATAAAAATGTCCATCCTAATTTCTGCACCTGATTGGACTGATGAAAACAATGCCACGCAGTATGCAATGGGGGAAATCGTCATGATAGTCAAATTTGCTTATTCTTTTTCGATATTCAACTGTTTAGGCACCTTTAACTAATTAACGTGCACAGACTGTAGCCCACAGAATCTCAGGTTATTGTTTTAACAGAATAACTAGACACTTTTTTTTCACATCAGCCTCTCACTTGCTTCACAGGCACATGTCGGCTGTTCAAGAGGTCTTTCAAGATAAATTTTGACCTACCTGGTTTAAATCAGCCAATGGTTCGTCGTCTGCTACTAACATCTGAGCGAATTGTAAACCTTGTTCTGGATTCATCCTCATAATATTACGTAAGAGAAAGATATAGTCTGGTGTAAAACCAACTTTTTTAGAGTATAAGATAATCTTTTGGAACTGTCCTGTTTCAGCAAAACATTGAATAACCTGGAAGAAATCAGAATAAATGAATAAGTATAGGAATTATTTTTTAATTTCTGAATTGTTTTTACAAAATGAATAAGCCAATGTCATTTCCTTTAAATACCTGTCGCAACCAAATAATTATGAAGTTATTACATAGAAAAATCTGACTTCTTTTTTGAGTTTATTTTTCTTCACTTGTGTGTAGTATGACCTTCTGTATGTTACAAATTCCAAAACTAATTAATGAAACTGACGAACATATAAAGCTGTATAATCCAACATTTAGTCAGCTAAATCATTGATCACCAATTAGATAATCTCTTGTATTATTGATAATCCAACATAAATCATTATTAAGACAAGAGACAGCAAAATATCCTTATCTCTGTATATCTGTACATTGTTAAATTCTTACCTTGTTTGGTACGTTAGCTCTAAGATAAATAGATAGAGCCAGTGTAGAATCAGCTGGTTTGATTAAATCTCCAAGTTCTTCACAACATTCAAGCTGAGAATAGAATTTTCAAAGATATATCAAATAACTATATTATATTAACAAATATCATAGCTATTTAAAATGATGTTTTTCTATACAACTAGATACTATTTCAAATTAACTTCTGTGTAGAATTCAAAAATGGGCACCCACGCTTGATTTAAGACAGAATTTTCAAGCAAGCAAGATAGCTCGTTCGACACGAAAAGGCTAATGAAATAGCATTTTATGAACCAACTTTCCAATACCTTTCGGCTAATGAAGACAGATACGAAGAAGTAAAAATTGAACACATCAGAAAATAAAAATTAAAAATAACAAACACTAACCTTTTCCTCTTTCAGCCATTTTTCTAATAATTGAGGTCGTCCCTGTTGTAAAATTGGTCGACATAATTCGATAGATTCGTATTTATTTAGCTGACCCTTGTCTAATAAAATACCGAAAAATTGGAACAATGGTGAAGTTTGTCCAGGCTGGGCTGGGATCTGTTGAAATCTTTGAATAGTCTGAGGAGTTCTTAAAATACCCTGAAAATATAAACAGAATGGTTAAACAGCAGTAGAAAACAATTCCTACTAGCTTCATTCTAACATTTAGAATTTAACAATATATATCAGTATATCAGTTAGCCAATACTTCCTGACAATGTTTTACGTCCTAATCTTCTGCAACATGTGGGCTAATGAAGGGTGTAATGAGCGAAATTTTGCGAGGACAGTGGCATTAGCCTGCTCTTTTTCGATTTCCAACAGTGTAGGGATCTAAACGTGCACAGACTGTAGAAAACAGAGCCTCGGTTAACTGTCCCATCCAAACAACTAGACACTTTTTCCATGTCAGCCCTTCTTACCTGCATTTCTGAAAAACATTGCTTTTTAAGGGATACAGATATAACATGCATATATCTGAAAATCTGAAAGGTAAGGGCATCATAATGTCACAATTACAGTGAGTTCAACCTACCTTAGGTGCACTGGCAGCCACTTTAGCAGCTTCAGCATAGGACCCAGCTTGAAATAAATTGTTAAACTTTCTAACGAATAAATCTTCTGCTCCTGGGAGGTTACAACGTGATGCAATACGTAACGCTAGATCTGGATTGTTGATATTGTTAGCTACATATTGTACGATAGTATCTTCTTCTACACTTACTGATAATACCTAAATATATACAGAGATATACACCATGAAAACAGACTTATTCGCATTTTGTCAAGCAAGATATTAAATGCTTGCAGTTACAATTTATTCCACCTCGAAAATAAAATGGAATTCTTAATTTTTTGTTTTGAGTCATCCCCCTTTGAACAACCATATTTGAGTGACTATGAGTTGAGCATTGCCCTCGTTGTTAAGGCAAATTGTAATATTCAGGTGGCATTCGAGGTTTGTCTCCCATGTTTGCATCATTGCTCTGGTATTTCTAATGATCAGCTTAAATTTCAATTGGTCTTTTCTAGCACACTGATCGTGGTAACATGCTTGTCAAACGCCCAATAATTTTTTATCAAACTCAAGGCACAAATACTCTATAAAAGCTAAAATCCAAATTACAAACCTGTCCCTTTCTGTTGACTCCAATGATACCAGATGTAGCTTCATGAGGTGCTGTGACGAATATAGTTTCACCACTGATACGATTCATATAAATAGATGTAGCTGTTTCTATATCATGAAGATGAATATAACCAAATTTAGTGACTAAAAATACAACTCCATGTTTGGGTGAAACCTGAAATTATCATAAAATTACAGTTTATTATTGAATAGATATAAAGGAAAGGTAATTTAAAGAGATTGTAAAGAGGGTTTCTAAATTTTTTATGTGTACAGGAGACACGGATAGCATCAATATGCAATTTTCAATCGACTAAGCGTTTAATGACGTCACTGATCGCGAAATAGGACTGATCACATAACGCCCTTATAAACCTTTTAGTTTTTGTTGGAACCACATTAGCTACTACCGATGTATTGCCAATATGTTGTTTTAGATATCAGAATTTGTGTTGGGGTTCGGAATCTTAGTACCTGGGAATTCTTAACTTTTGTTTAAAAGATGTGGTAATGTTCCTGGGATGATATTATATTGAAATAGTAAATATATTGATAGGAAGAGTTCTGTATGTTAAGATATTCTGATGATATTACTAACTCTCCAGTCAGACTACAGAAAGAGATAGAGATAGTCTGTCCTAATCCTCTTGTATAATATCTCATGTTTCTCATTATAATAATCATATTATATAATACTATACATTATAGTTACATTATTCTTAGACATTCAATCATGTTGATTTGACAGTCTGAAGATCTGTAATGCTTAGCAATGATTGGTCTTAAAAACAAGGCACTGTGACTTACATGTTATCATTAAATTTCATGAAAAATCAGCAACTTTTTTTTATATGCAAGACTTTTCAGTTCTGTCAAAATATTCATATGTCAAGGCAACAAATGAATTTACAATCAAATTCTGTGAGATTAAAACATTTTGTAAATATCTTTTAAAACTTTTGCTTGTTATTGACTTGAATACAAGTTTGACAACAGATTGTACACTGATGTATGTACAGTATATCCTGTTCACACGACCAACTCCAGTAAGAGACCATTTTTTGATTAATTCAAGAGTGGTCTCTTAATACAGTTTCTACTGTATGTATAAATAGTTCAGTGAGTTAAAATCAGATGATATCTGACATTCGTCATGGTAACAGCTGGTATATTACTAATCATTTATTCTAGTATAACACAGTCATGATATACATATCAGTCTAACACTGTCTATGATACACAGATACAGAATTTTGTGACATAATAAAATGAATTGGTTAATGAAGACATATAGAAAGAACTATATTTTACAAGGATAACAACTTAGGTTCTCAGTTAAGGATCCTTTTCAAAGCTTAAACAGTTAACATCTGACACAATATAACGTAAAAAAAGAATCTTCAATGGGTGGTAGCAAGATAACCTTAACATCTCGTAAAAAACTTGAGTAAATTACCTGCATAGCTACTGGGAAATCATTTTGAGCCTCAGCTGGAAAATATACATCCACAGCTTTCTTGGTAAAGGCTGTATTTCCTTCTGGTGGTTGACCCACTTCTATTACATGTAACTAAAACAGAAATAAGAACCATTAAGATTTTAGTTAAAGCAAATCAATGAAATACAAGAGAAATTCAAACTTTTACATTGAAATTTATTATGTTTTTTTTAATTGAATAAACCATGAGCCTGAATTTGTAAATAGCATGTCTTTTATAAATGTAGCCAAAAAATCTGAAAGTTCTTTTCTTTTCAAAGGTAACTGATACAAATCAAGTGAAATTGGTTGTTTTTGTCAGTCATGTCTGATTGGAGATCTAAATTAGACTAAGCTTGTGAATAAAGCCTTCAAAACAATTTGAAACAAAGGCTATAATGATCTTTCAAATATCCAAACAGTAAACTAGTTCAAGACCTGAATTTTCACAATCAAATAATCCAACAATTTGAATGCATCACTCCCAATAGAAATCTAAAATCTGAAAAAATAAAATTCAGCCTTACCTTTCCTCCTTGTGGTCCACGTACAGCGAAAATAAATAATGTTGAGGGGTGGGGATTACCCTCCAGTTTAAACTGAGAGAAAGCTGCAGCATGGCCTTCTATAGGTTGACTTACTTTCCTTTCAACAGAATATAACTGCATAGCTCCTACAACTCGATTTTGCTGAAAAACATAATGATTTTTATTATTTTTCACTCTTGTGTTTAGTAAGCTTATAGAGCCCAGTCCCTAAACAGATATTGAGATAAGACTTCACATTGAAAAATTCCACGCTTTAGTCAAACTTTCAAGGAACTTGCCCCAGAAGTATGTCTTAGAGAAACTAAACTTCAATATTTGTGTCCCAGTGCTTTAACATCGAGTCCTGCAAAACATCAAAATCTAATAGGTTTGACATTCTCAGAGTGGTTTTAAGCAAACACATTTTGATCGTTGATCAACATAAATATGAAATAAATCGTTACCTGAGCAGAAATTCCGACCAAAAGTAGCCATTGTTGTTTGGCGTCTGTTCTATAATTAATAATCTGACATCCTGCTAGGTTGGTATGACGATCAAAAATCTTCTGAGGCTGGGAATCACCTAAAATATATACAGGAATACATTAGATTCATATTACTTGGAGAATTATCAATTTGATTCTGTCTACTTCCTTCATTGATAGAATTGTCAACACAACATAAAATTGGAGAACACTTATAACTTTCGTTTCTAAGGCTGGATAAGACTAGTCACAAAAACCCCCCAAAAAAACACCCCTCATTTTACTGATTTCCAATCATACATTGACAATTTCTTACTGATAGAAAGTATGCTGTGGAGGAGTGTCACATAGATGACTGGAGAACTATTATCAAATCTTTCATTTCTTACCTTCCATGGTCCAATGAAATACAGATGTTTCTGTAACGAGACCAATCGTGTTGACTGAAATCCACTTCCAGAAAATGACATCATCAGTCAGAGAATGAGCCTTCATTTTACTCTTCATTTCAATATTAAATATCTGTAGTGTTTTACCAGCTGAAAAAAAACAAAATTATAATATTCATAACTATAGGACAATAAGGCAATCTAAGGTTTGACTTGGTCAAAGTGGTTGAAGGGCAACACTGTACTGGACGAGGCTCCATCTCAAGCTCTCAGTCCTGAAGCATTAATGGCAGATAATTTGCACATTATATGCATGTTGACAAGAAAACATACCTTTAAGTGCAATGACTTTACTAGTTGGGTTCATAATAGCAGAATCTGCCGAAATTGGTCGTCTGATAGGATTAGCTGTATCGTTCATATCAATAATAACAACTTGTGCCGTTTCACCCACTTTCTCTCGTACACAGATAAATTTATCAGATTCCATTGTGAGGGTACTGAACCCAATCGTTGCTGCATTGATTCCAACATTTTGAAGCTGTGAAGATAAAAGAAGAAAATCATATATTTGGTTAATTATATAAAATAATTTTAACATCGAAAGAGACATCAAACCGAAATAAATCAACATATTTGGAAGCAGAAATGCTAAAAGAAAAAGATGATCAACTTATTGGATTTGAATCTACAAAATTTTAACAAAAAAATGATAATTGGGGAAACTTTTTACTGAGAAACCAATTTTAGTCACTAAAATAACCATCACAAAATCATCATTCAAACAAAGATATAGAGGATAACTTGGATGGAATTTAGAATGAAAATATATAAAAAACAGTGTTACATCCTGCTTTTTTTTCGCTCTTAATTAGGCTAATGAGACAACTGATATGGTTCTCAATATTTTTTGTCTTATTAATGAAATTGCCTGCAAAATAATTCTATATACTAGTAGACAGAATATTTTATGGTAATTATCTTTAATAATGTTGGTATACAAACATAAAAAACACACACAACTCAAATGGAGTTTTACATCCTATATTATTATAATATTGATATTATTTTTAGTGTAATCAATTAAAATTGCCTGCAATATATTTCTATTTCAATAGAATATTTAAGCAGTAATCATTGAAAGTAATGTTTGTTAAAACTAGAGATACAAGTAAATAATAATTACTTTCCCTAGTAACTTCAGGCTTCATATTCAATTCTACAATCCATTACCTTAATTTATAGTATTTTCAAACTTGTTCTTTACTGTACATTCACACAAAATATACCAGTACCGTAAATTATATAAATAATTGATGAAATTTATCAGTATTTTACTTTAAATTACGCTTTCTTAAAGGAATGAAAGTAATTGATAGTTACAGCTTGAATCATTGATGCAGGTTGAACTAACCTCATGACTGTGCACAATTAAGATCCCTCTACAATTAGAACTAACTTAGAGGGGAGGGAGAGGGGGGAGGAGGTGGGCTAATGCCCTTACAATATTTCCCATACTATTGAAGAAGACACAAAAATTTTCAATTTCCAACTGTCAATGTCAATAGGGTTTTAACAGAACAGTTCCGAACATATTTTGTAAGTAAAGAAACTAAATAAGGGGGCTAAAACAATATATAATATCATTTTTTTTATTTGAGCACCCTTGATAATACCACATTCTCCTTTCCCATCAATATATGACTTATTATACTGTACTACAGAGACATTGTCAAATGTCTTGAATATTAGATAAATTGTGTATGAAATACAATATCTATTCAGTATCTAACTATCTTCAAACAAAAATGTGCCAAAATATTGAGAGTAAATGAATAAATTGATGAATTTTTGGGAAAATAGCCAATATATAATATATAATATTAATAGAAAACATCTCTGTCTCATTTTAACCCTATTACTTTAAAAGTCTTATAATAATTTCTTATTTTTAGCTTGACATTGTTTACGTAAGAAAAATTTAAGGTCACTGTTTGTAAACAGAACCAGCCAGTTAGAGCATTTAAAAAACACTTCGGAATGAAATCTGCATGTTGCAACTGCTAGAATTTAAACAACCTTAGTGTCTTTCTACAGCCATATCTTGAATTTTCAGCTATTACTTCGCAAACCTTCCTCAGATATGCTAAGGGAACTGTTCAGGAAAAATCAAAGACAGAACTTTTCAGTTATATGGTAAGTCCAGAGGAAGTAAGCATATCCTGCCAATAGTTAATCAAGAATTTTCATCAAGACTAGATTGATAATTTGACAGGCAACAAAAAAAAAAAAACAACCTTTAGTGTCTTTTTTTTTTAGATAGTTTTAAGTCAGATGTGAGAGTGGTTCTTTTAAAAAACTTCAGCCACTCCCCCCTCCTCCCCCACCCTAAAGGATTCAGAAAGTTATCTGCCTGTCAAGTTTGATTTCCATCAGCAAATTAAATTAACTAAAAGAGTCTTTAATCAGCAAATTTAATTGCTATCTTGGTAAGACGTCAAGTTTTATTTGAAATTAAACTGGTATTTAAATACTATTGATAAAGTCAATATGATAGTTACATGTTCAAAGTATATTGATTAGGTTAATATTACATATCTCTTGATGATAATACTGATAGATCTATAACAGGATGATAGTTCTTTAAATATCTACTTCACCAGCTGATATAACCCAGTTTTATCTAAAAAATACCTGCATCATTTTTCAATAGGACACCTCTTTCAGCCTCGTTCCATGTCCTAAATACTAAAATAAGCACCAGAGATCTTTAATCTCGAATCAGACATGACTGGTATGTCATATCAATAACATGAACCATGGCAATAAGATTTATGATTGAAGCACTTAAGTCACATCGTTTACAAGGAAAGACAGAAACGAACATATTCTACAGGGTAAAGTCTCTTGGAATTGATCTGTCTCGGATTATCTGTACCTACACAACTGGGAACATGAGGAAATATCAGAATTGATTGATATTTAAATCAACATCCCTTTTCAATTGATTTTGACCTTGACAATAAGAAAATTGAAATCCACCCCTATATAGTATATTTAACATCAATCTATTGTAGTTTGTTTTAATGATATGTGTCAGTCAGTCAGCCTACAGGTATCTGATATCACTGTCTCACTGATAACAAATCATTAAACATTCTCTTTCATCACTCTTAATTATCTAGACCAATTAAATCAGGTATTGAGCACTCAATATCTCCTTAAATCCTTTGCCCTTGCTTTTGAAAGTTAACGCCCCTTCCTTTTCCAAACCAAGGATCAATTTCTCAAAAAATTTGAACATCAACTTTCGTTTTCAAATGTGTAATTTCACAATGAAAATTATTCACAAGTTACAAATTTTTTTTATTGAGCTAAAAGACTGCACCAGTGGAGAGATTTTGCTATGGCAGTCTGTAGCCCACACAGACTATTTTATCAGCAATGCAAACCTACATCACAGACAGGGAGAGTTCAAGATGGAAAAATTGAAGGTACAATATCAATCTATACCAAGATAGTATCCTAAAACTGAGAACAACAGAGATCGTATGTGATTAATATTGAAGTGATTTTATTGATTAAGAGACAAGTGTAGTGCCAGTCAGTTCTGAAGATTAACTATAACTGACTAGAATGAATGAATGGAACAGTTCGTGGGGAAAATAACGTCTAGCGTAAACTAGACCAATAATCAATGAACTAGTTGAACCTGACTTTATCTTCTCATGTTTTTTAGAAAATCTGAACTAAGTTTGTTATATTCTGTACTCCGTACTCTTCATGAATTGATCTGGTTGTATCTCATGATTTTACTATGATAGAAGTTGCGTGTGTTGTGGGCGAAGCAGATCATGCTTACTCTTTTCTAAACACCTGATGTTACTTCTCTTTGGAGGAGTCCACTACAATACAACTTTTACTCTAAATTTTTCTATACTTTGGACGAGATTTTTGATTGTCAAAATTGTCTTTCTTGTATTGAGTTTTATAGTTATGTTATAGATATGGAACTGATAGTTTAATAAGAATGCTTTCCCGAATTCCTGATACCCTTTATTTTCAAACAACAGGAGAAATTTGTCTACTGTAAACTAACTCAATAATCAATGAACTTGTTGAACTGACTTTATCTTCATGTTTTTTTTTTTCTTCTAAATCATAAAATTCATAACTAAGTTTGTCATATTCTGTACTCTTAAAGTTAGGAATAGATGCAATAGTTTAAGAACGCTTCCCCAAATTCCTGAATTCCTTCACAAAGAATCAACACTTAACATGCATTGCTTAACTAATTAAGTCTAAAATTCATCCTTGAAAATTGATAGAATAATGCATCAATGAGTTTCATTTTACATAATTATCAAATGATGCAGAGGTGTGACAAATTAAATTACATCAGAAATCTTCTTGCTAATCAAATCTTAATATCATACAATAAGAAAGTGGCTTGACGACAAGAAATACTGAAGTACCGGTATTATAGAAGTATTATAACACAGCCATGCTGTAAGAAAGTGACTGAATGATAAGAAATGAAGCGTTGAGAATTTCCAATAATCAATACGATAATAACTGACAGACAAATAGAATGAATCGTGAGAGTGAGGGAGGAACTATTATTAGTATAAAATATCATTATTGACAACAAACAATACCAGTCACTCTGGTACCTAATAGTCTTGATTATCTAGTTCAATAATTATTACTTCATAATCTACTGACTAGACAAATTTAATTGAGACAGAGAACTTGGCAATTTAATGACACAGGAATAGGATAGACTAATGTTAAAGTATAAAATGATTGCTTATGATTTATAAAGATTGAGGATTGAAGAATCAATACTGGTTCTTAAAAATGATGAATTTGATCATAGATCAACCTGCTAACGAGACAATACTCTATAAACAATGTTAATATTCTAGTTACATCTTAAAACAAAGGCCTAGAGGAAAAGTTACATCTCTATTACATTTGTCAGTTTAGCGGTATTATAGATTTACTGTATCCAATTATTCATGAAGTTCTCATTATTGGAGACTTAAATTGGTGCAAAATTCATAAAAATTACTGATTTTCATCATTCATCATATTATTAGAAAAGTCAACATTCAAACAAAGACGCAAAATTTCATAAAAATTAGAAATCACGAACAAATTTCAAAATGCATCATATCATTAGAGAAGTCAACAATAAAACTTAAAATATGGATGTTAAATTTTTAATATATACAGGTCATATCAACCTTTGATTTTAAATGATAATTTATTGATCACACCCCCTTTTTAATCACAATGTCAATCAACTTTCAATATCAACTAACACAGGCCTCAGGACAACTCATTCAGTAACCAACATTTATTACAGAAATCAGATCTTTATATTTTTGGTATACCAAAAACTTAGGTCCAGTTCTGATTACAGAGATACATGAGACCAAGAGGAAATGCAGTGACTTTTTTTTTATAATAAATCTTATAAATCTTGTACAATATAGACTAGTAATTAAGCACTGACTGCAGAAAATTTAACATTTCTTTGTAGTCCGATCAATGACTATAATTCTGACAAACAGATGATATGTATCTATGGATAAAAACTCTTAAATTGATAGACATTTTTTCATTCATGAGTACTGTAGTCCTTGAATTGTTGGTGGTTGGATTTTTCTGTTAGAGTTGTTAGGTTATATATGACTTTGGTTTAGTATTGTCAATATTTTACTGAAATTCCAAACCCGGTTTCCTACGTACATCCTTATCTCAATGTGATAATCATAATACATATTAACGTGCAGTTATAACAAGGACAGAAGCTTTAACTACAGTATGTCTTATAACAAGCCAACTAACTTAACCTGCTCATCAATAAAACAGTAGGTGGCAATAGGTGATGAATTTAACTAGAATTATGGGCTCCTAACACCTTGCTTTAAGTGGTGCAACTTGTTACTTAACTTGCTGAGATTCCAATGGCTACATTAACAAGGTGCAAAATGATGCCTAACAATCAAGCTACTGGTAAACTGACTGGCACCAGCTTAAACCACCTAATTGATAATACCTATGGTGGAAAGTGTTGCCTAAGATAACAGGTATCAGTTTATCACACCTGATTGCTAATCCTTAAGGAGATTACCTATGGTGCAATGATGACCCTTCTTAAAACCCTACTGACAGTCTTCAATATACTGACACCATTGATTATTTGATAGATTTACAATTAAATAAAGTGAGAAAATAATCAATTCAGTAGCCATTGGAAAACAAAAGAACTGCATTAGAGGTTAAAGCGTGTAAATAACATCAATATGCTACCCTAACTGCCCCCAATATATTGCCAAACTCTTATTAAGGATTTTAGATTTTTAGTTCTTTGGTTTTTTAATTTAAACCTTACACCAATCTGCAAAAATTCAGTCAAATTGTGCAATCATAGCAATGGAAAACCTTTTCTTGAAACACAATCTGGCACTTCATTTTGGAAGTTTGATTCATACATTCGTGTATACAGCTAGTGGTTAGAGTTAGATATATTAATGTTCACTTCTGCAAATGCAGATAATATGTTAACCATCTATTATTTGAGTGCTTTTTCCAGTCATTGGGGCTCGTGAGACCTTGAAATGTCTTCTAATGAATATCAATTAAAAGAAAGGGGCGGATCAAACTAATTTGGTGGGTGTCTCTACAAGGTACTTTTATTAGTGGTTTTCCTTATTTTAATGAAATCGAGGAGATGAGATACAGTAGGCAATTTGAGAACATTTCAACTGATCAATGATCTGAGTTTCTTCTAATGACAAATTAATCAATAATAGCAAATGAATAATACACAATTCCTTCACAAAATGATGGTTTCCGGTTCCGTTTGTGGCTTGCCAAGTCATCAAGAGTACCGGCAAATTGTTCAATTTGACAGCTCAAATAACCTGTCACACATAACGAAAATCTTATGCAAAATAAATCAGTCTTGTCCCAAATTCTATTCCCATCAACCCTTACAATAGAATCATCGATTTATCCACATAAAACTACTAAATCAAACATATTTTATGCCGTATTGTACACGACGGCCATTTTTTGAAGGGGCGTGTAAAATGAAAAGAGAAGAAAATGAGGGTGCCGGTTGAAAATAACTCACCTGCAGATGCTCCTGAAAGCGTATGGGAAGAATTTGCGCCATAGCCTCACGCTAGGGTTGTTGCTCTCTGGATTCACCAGTTCCTTGTATTGTTTTTATTCCTCAGAAATTGGTTTCGGTGGCTTCGTAGATGACCGTCCCTCACTTATCACTCAAGATGGCGGCCATTGGCGTAGAGACTTTCCGAAAATAGTTCCAGTCAAAACTTACGCATAATTCCTAATTTAGAAAGACGATTATTTATCTGATACCTACAGTTTACATTCGAAATCAATCGAAGAAATACTTTAAAATACGAATTTGGCTTTATTCAGGCGATATCCTTCCAAATGTGCCCTAAAGAAGCATTAAACAATAGGACTATTTTATCACATGAGGATAATATATTCGTCCGCTACGAATGGCGTCATTGGGGATTACCCAGGAATATGATCATCCAATCAAAATGATCGTGACGTCATCAAGAACGGGTTTTCTCAGAAAAGGTGATTTCCACGTTGACCGAATTATTTCACCTGTTACAAAATAGGTGACATGTCCTAGACAAGACAAAAGTGTCGCGTCATGATCGTTCACCTTTCAATATCCTAATCCTTAACCTGTGCTAATCTCATAATTATGGCTCGTGATTTCCCTGATTTTGATCACAGCTGCTTCACATGACCTGGCATTTTATAAATTGCGTTTTGAAAATCTAGATAAAAAAAAAGAAGATAGCTTGTATAATGTAATATATCTGGTCAGATCAGCCTGACCATGTTTTGGGCACCTGATCACAGACATATGCAGCTTTACCGAACAGATTTATAATGTACTAGTTAGATGGTTAGGATAATTTTGTAAACATAGATCTTGTGTCTTATGATTTTTTGTTGTTAATATTAAATAGTATTTCATACTGGTAAATTCTGCACTTTTAAATAGCCTATGTTTTAGAATTGAATGAATGCAGTTTGTGTTCGTTGAACTAGGATGGGCATCTCATGTGGATGGATTTATAAATTCTGTACATGTATTCCTATTCAGAGTTCACATAACTGATAGTTAAACGTTGAAAGTAACAAATTATATATTCATAATAATTGTCTTATTTATCTATAACTTGTGCTTCTAATATGCCATTGAAGAATTAACACTGATATTGTTTACTTGGTCTAAAGCTCTTTTATTAAAAAGCAGGACAAATTTCACCTGTGCCCAAAACATAGGATATAAAACTATAAAAAAACTCAAGATTTCTAGATGATGAAAATATGTTTATTTTACAATGCTAACAAGACAATGATAGATGAAGTAAATATTAAAATACAAATCCTTCCATTTTTTTTATCAGTCAATGAATTGGATTTAGAATGTAAGGAAATTCACATATAATCTCCGCTTCCAAGAATTTTATAGAATTGGGCTTACTTAGGCAGTGGCCTTTCTTTGGAGGGGAGATCAGGCAATTTTCCACCCTTTTAAAAATAACAGGTCTTGGTCTTGAAAGGAAGGACATCTTCCTAGCCCCAAAGTTTCTCAAGATAATTGGAATACATTATAACAATTATTACACACTCCCCGTCTAATTTGACTTTTGTTCAGTTTTTTAGTTGCCACTACAGTTAGGGTCTAAAGACAGCATTCTTGAACATTCATCCCTTTGATGACACCGTCAACCATTAGAATTCCTTCATTCTTCCTTTGTGGACTAATGTTTTTTTGGACTGAATTCATTTCGATGTTAAGAATCTGGATCAGACACTCTAGCCTGACAGTTGAGTTGAGATTGGGCGATGTCATGTAAAGCAGCTTGTATCTGTTCTAGTAAACGTTCACCATGGTTGACGATATCCTCTAACTTCCTAGCTGCTTCCTGATTCTCCTGTTCTAATTTCTTTAAACTTGCCAACTGAAAAATATCAAATAAAGCCATTTAGATGGGTCCTGTTTGTTGTCTTTCGCATAAATTGTTCATCAGAATGGATTATATTACAATACTATTGTTGAATCATTGTCACAATGTCAAGCTATAATGAACTCTGTATTATACCTTAAAGGTATGGGTGCACCTGGTCTATTGAAGATACTCTGTGATATATAGAAAAGACATACATGGAAAGAGTGAGTAAAATTCCTAGTTTGAAGTTTTTTTTAAAGGAATTTTCCGATTGTTTTCATTTCTATTACTTCTGAAGACTATTTACATATATTCAACACCCTAATCAACTCCTCAAAATGGCGCACCTGTCCCTTTACACCATTAGGCACTTTTCTTGTATCAAGGAAGTTTTTAACTTCAACTGTTCAAATTTCAAAGTGTCAAATAATGTCAAAGTGTACGACAGAATTTAAATAACGTTGTCGTCTGTGTAGATTACATCAATGTAATTATAGCTCTTTTGTATTACATTTATCAACGGTATAGACACCTTTTCTACCTGTCTTTCAAGGGAGACCATCCTTACCTGCAACTCAAGAGAAGATTCTTCACTTGGAAGGGAGTCAATCAAAACATCAATATCTTTTGCTGTTCTTGCGATTAATTTAGCAAATAACAATGCATAATCTGAAATAACAAAATATGACAGTGATGAAAGTAACAGTGTAGAAACCTTGAAAAGGAAAATTGAAAGCAAAATAAAATTGATATCCTGGAAAATTTGAGTCGTACAATTTGCACATAATTTGGCTACTTCTGCCAATTGCAATCAGAGTAATTTTGCAATGACAGCTGCATAAGCTTGCTTTAATATCAATTTAGCACATGGAACCTTGCTTCACTGACAGGGGGGGAAACCTTGTAAATACATCCATGGCTGACATCAATTTTTTTACCTTCTTGTTGTGGAGGGGACCCCTTTCCTCCTGATCTCTCAAACCCTGGAAACGGGCTGCTTGGAGCACACTGCTGAATTACACCAACACTGTTACAGAAATGGTCTGCTTGCTGAAAAATAGAACCAGATCTTATATCTAAGACAACTTGCAGGGCGGTCGAATTGACTTCACAAATGACTGTATTTGGGACAATTTGGTATGAGGACGAATTGACTACTCTTTGTTTTAGGCTTTTCTTTTCAATATTTTGAAAAACTTCCTTGAAAATTCTTGAAAAGTGATGAACAATTGAAAAATCACTTACTTGGTTCACTGCATCTTGTAACTGAGTGAGTCTATCCGCCATGGTTTGAGTTTAATCAAAATTTGTAGATGTTTCACATTTTTAGGTCAAATCGACCAACAAGTTTCACAATTTGAGATAGAATGGTGTAAAACTGCGATTTGGAAATGTAAAATATTTCAAATTCTGTATCAAAATGATTCGATTTTACATGAAGTGATTTTGAGAAACATTGATTGCAAATCTTCAAAAACAGACAAAAATGAAATGACTTTATGAAATGATAATTGTTTTACAAAAAATCTAAAATACATTACCAGATTTAAAGCGCTTGCAAAAGAGAAAACCACGTGGTCATTGCCTCGTTTCAGTCTTTACGCCATTTCTCTTGAACATTAAGCGTGTCTATCGTTTCGTGTCTCAAAGAAGACTTAAAAGTAAGCTCCCATAATAATGTAATCCACCCCCTCCTCGGTGTTCATGTAGCTCAAATAAACCTTTTCGAATCTGCATTGTTAGATCTGCTATTTGTGTTGGTTTTTTTTTTGAGAAATTTCAGTTGTAAAATTGGAGAATAACTAAACAAACTGTGAGCCGTGGTGACCACGTGTTATGAAATAAGATGAGCAACACAAAATTCACTCTTGGGCTGTCAAAACAATCGTGTATCCTAGAAGGACCATAATATTTGAAGCACTAAAAAGAAATGTTTAATATCCCAACCTTTGACCGATTTGGGGAAATAGTTGATAGTAATAAGCCTGAGGCCTACTGACATTGTAGATAAAATAAGCATGATTAATAATGAACTTATGAAGAAGCACAAGTCAAAATTTGGAGAAGAATAATTGCCATAGCAACAATTTTGTATTAAATTATTTTGATTTATATCCCTTCTAATGTCTTCTTAAGTAACTGTTGAAATTGATATTGACTTTTTTGTCGGTAACCAATATGTGTCTTGTATTTCAGAATGCGTTACGTAGCCGCCTACCTACTTGCTACCCTCGGGGGTCAAACTAAACCAACAGCTGCCGACATTGAGAAGATTTTAAGTAGTGTGGGTATTGAAAGCGAAGCTGATAAAGTTAAAACTGTTATTGGTGAACTCAGTGGAAAGAACCTTGAAGATCTGATCGCTGAAGGTAATTTGAACCAAAGAAAATTTCTGAAATAAATAGGGTTGTTTTGACTTTTGGGTGTAAAATATTTTCACTATCCGTGCTTTAACCCTGTGCCAGTGTCTTCTGTTGGATAGTCACTTGTTACCTTTCAACCACCCTAATCTTTAATCTAAATTATCTAGTGCCCAATTGTCCACATGAATTCCTGGTTGTTGAAATCCAATGAAGGTGATAGTCAAATAATATTGCTTTTGTAAACTAACCGAAACTGGTTTCTTTTGCCTTTTTGGTGTAAAATATATTCACCATCAGCTCTAATACTCCCTTATTAGATGTAGGTCCCTGTGAGTCTGTATGGTGAATATTTGAGTCAAATTTTTATTCCTTATTTTTTTTAGGTCAGAAGAAACTTGCCACTGTTCCATCAGGTGGAGGAGCTGCTCCTGCTGCCGCAGCTGCACCAGCCGCTGCTGCAGGTGGCGATGCCAAGAAAGCTGGTACGTATATCTTGAAATTCTAACTTACTGTTCAACATGCATGATTTAAAATCGTCATGAGTAAAAAATCTGTCTTACAGGCGGATAAAGCAATTTGTTGTAAGTCTCAAGTTAGATGTGAATTTGTACAAAACTAGATATAAATACTAATATTTTACTAAACTTTTTAGGAGGAAGTAAGTCATTAGAATTTAGGTGATGGTACAGTCTCCCCCACCCACCACCCCCCTCTCTTCCATTTGTTTATAAGGGTACTATATATCCTTCAAATGATAGACCCCTCTTACAGTAGTTTAGAATTTTATTGATTGGTTTCTTATGAGGCAGCCATTTGCGAAAATTCCTTTATTTTTGTAATTGCTGATAGTAGTTTCTATTGGTGATCAAGTCTTATTTTCAGGTTTCTTTTAACTTGTCCTCAATTTCCTCTCTTTTTCCTTTTATAAATGATTGTCTCGGTTTAAACTGGCTATTATATCAGGTTGCAGAATCCCTGGTCCTTAAATGTAGTTACCTCCCTTACCTGGTGATGGAAAATGAGATAGTAGTTTTCATGAACACATCATTACGCTTTGCTGGGAATTTTGTGTTCTTAATAACTAATTAACTAATTGAGCATAATGTAAAAATTTCCAGATCACAAATTTTTTTTAGTGGAGAATGATTAATCCATACTTTAGTGCTCTATCTTGACAACAAATTAAAATAATTACTAACATAATAATTGTTCAGCAAAATGTTTTGGAAATTTAATTTTCATTTTAAATTTCGTCTTATTTCAGAACCAGCCAAGAAAGAAGAACCAGAATCAGAATCTGATGAAGATATGGGCTTCGGTTTATTCGACTAAAAATAACATCCAGCATTTTATTGTATAAAATGATTAAATTATAGCCCTTATTTCAGTAGTTTTTATTTCATAATTAGTGATGTTCAGACAGCTGTTCACTCATTTAGGGATATATTGGCTTTGTGGGCCATATTCAGAAAATTGCCATGAAAGGGAAGGAGTCGAAAGAGGGCACTGTCAACTGTTTTTAGGATATGTTACCCCGAACATGTATTGATGTAGATTCTTTCAGAAGGTTGTCTATTGAAAGGCAGTTGCAGAATATTATAAGGAGTATCCTGTAGTTTAACATTCACTGAAAACACTAAACAGACAAATTGTATAAAGGCTTATACTCCAACTGGTCTTGAAAACATAAAATACTTGCCTATGCATAACACCCTCTCAATTCCGCCCTGCTCTAAATTCAAAGCATTTTCACTCTGGTCAAGTGTCTCTCACACCAGTTGTGAATAAGAATAATGGTCCTGATCACTTTTATTATTTACAACTGGTAATCGCTAGAGTGTGATGGCACCTTCAACAAATGACATTTTTTTGAGAATATTATTTATACAAATACAAAACAAATCAACAGAATGTACAACATAACAAAAGGTGATATTATAGTATCCTCACTGATAGAAATAAATAATAAATTTTGACAAGCGTTAATTTTGTAGTGAAACATAATGACTACCATCACAAAATAGATATTTCATAGCTGAGATAAATAAATAATAAATTTTAACGTGTTCATTTTATGATATTTTGTCGTTGATATTGAATTGATATTATATGGTCATTGACTTAAAAAAAAATTCTGATATAAAAGTGCGAATAGGCTTGTAGAGATGTAAGATTTCCAGAAATGGAAATGGGTTGCGGATTCATTTCGTTTCTGGATAAGAACCCTTTTTGCGATCCAATCTTTCCTTTGAGTTGCCAAAATTAAATTCTATAACAACGATCTCTCCTTGAAAGGCTTGAGACTTATGCCGCCTCCACAGAGTTGCTACATTTTGGAATTCCACCTTAGCAGTTGTCCCCTCCCCCCCCCATTTTGTCAGTCTGCCCCCTATTTGTACCCCCAGTCTCAAGAGGCTGGAGTCACCACTGATACTGAATGAAGCAATATTACTCTGTTAATAACAAAGGATTAAATAACTTAATTTATTTTTGGAAGAAAAAGCACTCGTGAGATTGTAAGCTTGAAGCATGCCAAGTGTCTGTCATACAGTACAGCAACCATCACAAACACCCATAAATTCTAACTACTAATGCTTTCATAATTTCATATATATCCTTTTCACCTTCCTTATGCAAAGGTGGGAAAGACAAGGTATGCAGGCCTGTAGCTAGCAAATTTTTTGAAGAGGTGCTCAACTATAGCAACTCAACAAGTCATTTAAGTCATCTAAACTTTTCAGGGGGAGCCAAAATTTTCTTAGGGGAGGAGGGGCATAGGCTCCCCTCTAGCTATGGGCCTGGAGGTATGGCATGGTGCAGTAGAAGAAAGATGAAGCCAAGTGTCTGGGCATCAAATCTGAACTTATAAATCGTGTATTTACTTTAAATATTTTCTACAATAGAGCCTATTTATTATCCTGCACTGTACACTGCACCAGACCCAGTTCTTTGTCTATATCCACCATAATTCTCTCAATTATTAGTTCAAAATATCCTTAGTTTCATTTTCTTCTTGGCCTAGAGGCAATTCGTAATTTAAAAGCTGCAGATGCTGTAACAACAAGCCAACAACCATAATTAATAACATCACAATCTGCTGCGAAAATAGGCTACATGACATCGTGAATAATAATCCTGAAAGCTGCATCAACCAGTAGTTAATAAAACATCATACTGTGCTGCCACAGAGAGGAGGAATCCCTCCCTGGAATTCCTCCCCTGTTCAGAAGCACTGAGTTACAAGATACTGTGAATATTAATCCATCACAATCTGCTGCATAAGAACATACAAATAACATCAGAAACATATTTAATTCCAGTAACTAGGTCAGACGCCTTGATTCTGTTAACTAGGTCAGACGTCTTGATTCTGTTAACTAGGTCAGATGTCTTGATTCTGTTAACTAGGTAAGACGCTTTGATTCTGTTAACTAGGTCAGACGCTTTGATTCTGGTAACCTGGTCAGTTGATTAATCTAACTAGATCAGAGGTGTCGTTTATTGTAATTAGGTTAACTAACTTATATGTTACTGGTAAATAGTCAGACGCATTGAATCTGGTAACTAGGTCAGACATGTTGATTCTGGTAACTAGGTCAGACGCGTTGGATCTGGTAACTAGGTCAGACGCCTTCATTCTAGTAACTAGGCCAGACGCCTTCATTCTTAGTAACTAGGCCAGACGCCTTCATTCTAGTAACTAGGCCAGACATGTGGATTCTGATAACTAGGTCAGAGGGGTTGTTTCAGGTAACTAGGTCAGACGCAATGTTGCTAGTAATTAGTTCAGACAGACACGTTGAAACATGAGGATTCTGTTAATTAGGTCAGACATGTTGATTCTGTTAATTAGGTCAGACGTGGATTCTGTTGATTAGGTCAGACATGTTGATGCTGTTAATTAGGTCAGACACATTGTTTCTTGTAACTAGGTCAGACACATTGTTTCTGGTAAATGGGTCAGACGCGTTGATTCTGGTTGCTAGGTCAGACATGTTGATTCTGGTAACTAGGTCAGACATGATGTTTCTAGTAACAAGGTCACACGTGATGTTTCTTGTAGTTGTGTCAGACACCTTGTTTCTAGTTACTAGGTCAGACATGTTGATTGCAGTAACTAGGTCTGACACGTTGATTCCAGTGACTATGTCAGACATGTTGATTCCAGTAACTAGGTCAGACACGTTGATTCCAGTAACTAGGTCAGACACGTTGATTCCAGTAACTAGGTCAGACTTGCTGATTTTGGTAAGTAGGTCAGACGCGTTGATTCTGGTTGCTAGGTCAGACATGTTGATTCTGGTAACTAGGTCAGACATGATGTTTCTAGTAACAAGGTCACACGTGATGTTTCTTGTAACTGTGTCAGACACTTTGTTTCTAGTTACTAGGTCAGACATGTTGATTCTGGTAACTAGGTCAGGCACTTTGATTCCAGTAACTAGGTCAAACAAGTTGATTCTGGTAACTAGGTCAGACACTTTGTTTCCTGTAACTAGGTCAGATGTGTCGATTCTTGTAACTAGGTCAGACGTGTTGATTCCAGTAACTAGGTCAGAAACTTTGTTTCCTGTAACTAGGTCAGACATGTTGATTCTTGTAACTAGATCAGACTTGTTGATTCTGGTAACTAAGTCAGATGTGTTGATTCTTGTAACTAGATCAGACTTGTTGATTCTGGTAACTAAGTCAGATGTATTGATTCTGGTAACTAGGTCAGTCGCTATGTTTCCTGTAACTAGGTCAGACACTTTGTTTCCTGTAACTAGGTCAGACATGTTGATTCTTGTAACTAGATCAGACTTGTTGATTCTGGTAACTAAGTCAGACTTGTTGATTCTGGTAACTAGGTCAGACTTGTTGATTCTGGTAACTAGGTCAGACGCTATGTTTCCTATTAGAATATGCTGTGAATAATAATCTTGAAAAGCTGCATTTAGATTTTAATAATTTGATTATGAAAAGTTTATTTTTCCGTTAAAGACAACCTTAGAATCATTTCCAACTCCTCTTCTTCCTGTTTTCTACGTTTTTCAACCTCAGCCAGTTCATTTTGTGATATTTGTAACGCGAGACGTAATTGATCATCGTCGGATACAGATTGATATGTTGGGGGTTGACCGTTCACAACACTGTTTGATCCTCCGTCTGCCGATAAACTCTCAGCTATTGCTCTGAAAAATAATCAACACTAAAATTAGAGATGTTGCTTGTGTTTATAATTAGAGCATTTCCATCCAATCAGTATTACCTGAAATTTTAACAAGTGGTTCACTTAATTATTGAGAATTTTCTTCATGTGACATGATGATTGACAGCAAGCTAAGGGTTCCAACTAAGTAAGATCTTACTCTTCCGCTTTTTATTACGCTCACGATTACAGCACTATGATTTCACTTCTACTTTAATATATTTAGCCAACTGATACACAGATTGCTGTTGACAATGGGCATGCATCAATTTCCACCTTGTGATAAATCCTTTTGAGTTCATACACTCTATGAAAAGCAAGGTAATGTACAAACCTTTGTAAAAGTCTGTCGTCTGTATCTCTAGGCGGAAGAGCTGGCGGGCGTGTGTTAGTTAAGGCTTCAAAAAAAGTCACCTGAAAAATACAACATAAATCTTTTAACATCAAACATAGACTCCAGCCCTGAACCTTTTACTGGTGAATAAATAAACTAAAAACTAAACAAAACCTTAAGTCAAACCAGAAATCCAAAACAACATATTGGCGAAACATTTGTAGCAGCTAATGAACTTTTCATATGAGGAAGTATTTCAAATATATGTGAGTAAATATTAGTTGACCTTCTCAGAATATCTGTCCCCTTGCAAAATGAAAGATACTACAACAAAATAAGAGGGTGGCATCCAAATCAAAATCATGCATCCAAAACGGTTCACTTACTTAGTTCATACACCTTAAGTTTATCTATATTTTCAAAACTAACTATCCTGATGAGAATTTTATATCACCAACACAAATTGGCCATATGAGATAAGCTCTTCTGTTAAAAAATTAATTAACGTTTTCTTGAAGAGTATTTTGTATCTGAACCACCTGTGGGAATTGGAATTTAGATATTTGAATAAGGCGCTGTCATGTACAGACCTGATCCTCTTCGCTGCCAGACTCGACTAAACTCTGTTGTATTGCAAACTGTAATAATTCATCATCCTCATCTCGTAATCTTTCGTGATACCCATCTCCTATAAAAAAAATAAATAAATTTATGTCAGTTCCGAAAAGAGTGAGCCTTCATATAGATCTGCACTAGTGGTACAATAGTTTATTTGGAATAAATGGTTAAAGACGTATTATAAATTTAAATAGACAAACGAAGACCAACATACAGAACAGTAACCGTGGTGTTTCTATGGAGAATTAAATGAAGGGCCGTGAAATGGTATATAGTGGACTATGCCTTTTATGTCTTACAAATAGTAAGCCTATTTACGATTTAAATTGGACCCAAATTTTGCATTTGATAGACATTGAAAGCCATGTAATGGCTAACCTATACTTGATGTCTGATATAGGATATTGACCGTTGGTCATTTCAGCAGCCCTGTCGGTCATGTCCGGCATATAGAGTCAAATCAACAGCCCTGGGATGTACACAAATATCATTGCTCAACTAAAATAATGTTAATTTCATATATTTACTATTATTTATTATTCAATTTACCTAATGTTCCATAACCCTCTGGAATTTCAAAACAATCGTCTGTTATCGTACAACTCAGTTGACTAGGCTCGTCTGCTGGTAGACACGTCACATGTTTTACAGATTGATCTGATGCATAAATATTACCGAACGTTATTCTGGCATTTAATACATGGAATAACGGAATTTCTGAAAAAAAAAAGAGGGTTGGGATTAAAAAAGGACAAGTATATGTTTCTCACTATATTTTGGAGATCATATAGGTCAGAGATGAGGCAAGATTTAGTCTACCACTTCGAATTATAATATTGAAGCAAAATGGTGAGGAAATGGTTTTATGATGACACTGGTGCTAAGTTCCTTAGTGACAGAAAACACTTTTAGTCGAATTGCAGTAACCATAAACGTCTGACTGAACATTAGAATGGTACAAATCAATGCTATCAGTGTCCCTGATACACATAAAAAGTTTTGAAAACCTCTTTTACAATTTGTTTAAGAATTCATTTCCAAATCTGCCACTTGCCTCATGTAACCAGGGCAACCAAAGCTTAATCTGGTACTTGCCTCATGTAACCAGGGCAACCAAAGCTTAATCTGGTACTTACCTCATGTAACCAGGGCAACAAAAGCTTAATCTGGTACTTACCTCATGTAACCAGGGCAATAAAAAGCTTAATCTGGTACTTACCTCATGTAACCAGGGCAACCAAAGCTTAATCTGGTACTTGCCTCATGTAACCAGGGCAACCAAAGCTTAATCTGGTACTTACCTCATGTAACCAGGGCAACAAAAGCATAATCTGGTACTTACCTCATGTAACCAGGGCAATAAAAAGCTTAATCTGGTACTTACCGATTTTAACGGGGAATCCGGCAGGAAGTTGTAACGTTATAAAATCTTTTAACTTTTTAAAATGAGCGTTGCTTGCGGCCATTAGATCTATAATAGGAATCACTTGTTCTTGTAGAGATAGGGGGAATGTCTCACACAACGATAATGTAGCTTTAAATTTCTGAGTTTTTGTGGACACTTCCATGGGTCGTCCAATATCACGATTTTCTAAAGGTATATGTTTATTAAAATATTCCTCTGGGGTGATATGAGTTGGATTATATGATACACTTGTAACATCCTGAAAAAATAGAAAATTATCATAATATAAGAGATGACAATTCTATATTTTCAAAAATAGTTTAAAAATTTGAAAGTTGCAGTATGTACTAGCTTGATTAATACAGGAATAATAAAACCCTGAGAAATTATATTTTACACCAGTTCCAGTTTTCAATTCGATCGTATATCTCATTCATATTGTATTTGACATAATATCAGTGCTAAAGCATAATATACAAATGGCAAAATTCTATTACAAGCCCTCAAAATCTATGTCTCCATTAACTTATCTGAAAGTTTTAACCTTAAGTTTCTTGCCGTTACAATGTCAAAACTGAAAAATCTACCCATATAATTTTTACAATTTTTTGATTATAAGAAATTTGCCTACCGAATTTTCATTAGATGGTGAAGCTGTTTTTGTGTGTTCTTCTGCTACTCCCAGGAATGATTCTAACGGTGTTTTATTGGTGCGTTTAGATTTATCTTTATCCTGCTGTGTTAGATGTTCTGTTCGTGTTTTAGTGACTAATTCTACACTACTAGCACTAAATACCTGTAATAATATATCACAGTGTCAAAACTAATACAAAATCTTTTACTAACGATCTGTTGGTAGCAGCCAATAAACAAAGTTTCTAAGTGACACAGAAAACAGGTTCTGTTTCAAAGATCCCGAGCAATCTGCTACCTTACAGTTTAATGGAAGAAAACTGAAGAACTGACTGCTTGAAAACGAACATATTTTACAAGAAAAGCTGGTCCATGTTTTGGTCTTGGCATTGATAAGTTGGAGAAATTAACAGCTGGGTTGAGGGGAGGTTTTGACTTAGGTCATCAGACTTGTTGAGTTCTAATAATAGTGTAAAAATTCTTAAATCAAAGTTCTCAACAGCCATTAGAAAACTTTTCAAAATGTAGTCCCTTATATAGTAATAGTTATAAACAATAATTAAAGAAAAGACAAGACTCCTACCTTACAATCATAGCCATTGATAGTATCTGTTTTATCACTTCTCCACCCCCAAATACCAGCTTTATTCCTGTAATCATAATATTAAACATTTTATTATTGAAGGGCTGAATTTGGAAATTAAATCCTCTTCATAAATCTATAATTTCAACCCAGAGCTGATTAAATGATTGTTGTTTTACAGGCAATAAAATTACTGAAACCAATACCTTTCAAAGGAGATTTTTTCTGTATCTATATAGGTAGTGACTAGAGGAGAGGTCAGACGGGCTGCCACAGCTTCTTCCGAAGGTTGCATGACCGATATATCTGGAGGGGTGGGAGAGATCTGCATTGTTTCTTGATAAACTTCGTTTTTTTCATGGTCTATCTCCATCACAGTTGCAGTTTCACCTGAAATTTTTAATTTTTCTATTAAACATCACACAGAGAAAACAGAATTCAACTAAATCCCAAACCAAATGAGGAAAACCAACGCGTTCAAATCACAATGAGGTACAATTGAAATGAGTCTATTTGATCACTTAGAATGGAAATGGATGATTTATCAAACTGCCCTCCAAATAAGAAGTGGAAAAATCAGTGATCAATGAAATATAAATTTGGGCAAACAAGAATCCGATGATAAGATTTTTTCTTTCCTATATTAAAGAATACTCTATAGCAACATCAATAAACCAAGATGAAATAGAGTCCTTCTTTTCAACTCCAGACCAATGAACATGGGCAATACTATGCAGTAGCAGTCTGCAATGAGGGAATTTAACTCAGATTATAAGAAGAAACAAAGAAAATGAATAACTTACTTGTGCCTTTAAAAATATAACTTCTACTACCTCGTTGCCAGTTCATATTATCAAACCCTAATAACGTAGTGTCAATTCTTACATTTGAACCTATAAAATATATATAAAAACTTTGTCATAAATATACCAAATAATCAATATAAGCTATGTGGACACTCTGAAAGAGATGCAGAGTTGACAAACCCAATCATGGGATGACATCAGGTGTGCATACCCTGTCTTGCTAGTGACATCCACTATCATACATTCATTATTAATGAAATATTTTGTGAAATAATTGTGGTTTTGAAACTTTGTGTACGAGTGGTTAATGAATGTTTGACAAGCCATGCAGTGTGTCATTAGAACATCATGGAACTTTGATTAAATATGAATAAAATATCGTGCTTACCACTTTTCCAAACTCTGTAAGTGTCACTGGGACACATTCTTGAAATCAACGGAACTGAAAGACAACAGAGATCCATGATTCCTAACTTTCAGAAATCTTAAATGCATGATTTTGATACAATTTAAGCCAATATTTTGTTTTGAAAACTGATTTCAAACTTGAAGATGAGGATTATTTTACACTGAGAATTTGCTGCCATAAATACATTCAAAATGTAAAAGCTTCAAAACTGGAAATCATGAATTAACTCATGTGAAATATTTTCGTAAATTTGATCTTGGAGAAATAAGAAAGCATTTATAATCAATCAATAAAATTGATATATATCTGTTATTTCTATAGAAAATTAACTATAAACCTACCCCAGCTAGTAAACTCCCATTTCATTTCAACATAAAAATCAGGGGTCTGAAAAGAAAAGAGATTATAATTATATTCTGTAAGAAAAAAATCCAACCTGCAAATCACTTTTGTCTAGATATTTGCTTTACCAGTTGATGAGGCTCAATTTCAGCTTCATACATCCCTTTTTTTTCTGCCAGTACTCTGCAAAATGTACCGTCCAAATTTCTACATTCGTAACTTTTATAGTCACATGCAATAATCAATAGTATGATACCCACCTCTTTTAGTTTCTTGAGTAAATCAGGGACGTTAAATGTCCTTTTATTATGACGTTGATAATCTCTATATTTTAAAACTAACTGAACTAATTCAGGATCTCCAGTACTCACTGCTTCATGGAGAGCTGAAATGTCATTTATAAAAAACTTGGAGAAAATTCAGACTGGATTGAATTTTATTTTGTCAGATCACTGATGCTAAGGTAAAGTAATAAAAAGAGTTTAATTGTTATTTAGATCGGAAAATTCACCAACATTTAGTTTAGGAAACATAAAAGGAAAGGTTCCATGTATTTTGGATATGACTCTTAAAAATGTTGCGGCTGATTTATTTTGTGAAAAGTCAGGCTTGTTTCAGTGAAATCATGTAAAGTTTTAAAATAATGCTTATGAAGACAGGCATAAAGATGGATGCAGTGCTCAAATGAGAGTGAAATTTTATTATGACATTGGCATAGGCCTACTTTTTTTATTTCTAACTGTTGAGGTATCTTAAATGTGCAGAGCCTCTGGCACACATAACCCCAGTTTATTGCAACCATCTAAACAACCAACCAAATCACACAAATGATTGTCTTTAAGTCACACCATTAGTTCATGTGCTCACCTGACCAGTATTTAGAATTTTCAGCGTTAGCGTTCGCTTCATGTCGTAACAACACTCTCACGCTTTCGATATGTCCTAACGTTACAGCTAGTATCAATGGAGTTCTTCCCCTTGGATCTACACTCTCTAGATCATGCTGTAATGGAAACAAAGATAATGGTTAATTTTGTACAATTTCAGAAGAGATGTTCCTTCAACGATGTGTCTATTGAAGCCAAAAGGCATAAATGATAATTATTAAACATTATTAGCTATGTGAACTTTCTGAAAGAGATTCCAATTGGACATCATTTTCGCTTGAATCAAACAGGACTCTATTTGACAGAGTCTATATGTACGTTATCCCTGATAAACATGAATAGGCTACAAAATCCTTTGGATCTAGAGACTAGACAGTAGACTAGAGGGAAACAGCTTTCAGATTAGATTTTTTTTAACAGAACAGAATTTTTTTGTTTCCAGTTAGACTTACAGACATCTTTCAGAGATTATTAATCAAAATCACACATAACGTGATGCATTCTCAGACCAAGTTTGTCAATTTGGCTTCCCTTTTTTGGCTTTCCCTTTTTGAAAGTCCACCCCTACTTGACATTCCCTTTCAGAGAGTCAACATAGCTTAAAGCATTCAATTGGTATATTCAAAACCATTTAATCCAACATTGCAGTCTGCATTGTCCACTGCATTGATATTAGATGAAGGAAACTCCCAGAAATTAGAAAATCAATTTTTTGTTGATTATGCAAAAACAATAACATTAGATAACTTGCCACTTTTTTCCGGATTTCCGTATCCAGTTCGCTATATTCATTGTGCCAGACTCGCCAATGAAGGGGATATTCCTCTGCCAAGGTCTTGGACGACATATTTCCTCATAAATGTTCCCCGGTCAGAAAAAAAATTCCGAAATAAGGAAGTGAAAAAATAATTTGACAGATGGAGTCTCTTCACAACTTGATTAATCAAATGGAAGTTTCCGTATGGAGAGTCAAATACGACAAGTTGTATAAAGCACTGAAGGAGTCAACGGATAGAAACATAATATATGGCTAAATGCGCTGTCCATAAATATTATTTACGATAAATCAAGTACGACCACTGACTCACTTGCGGAAATTGACTTATTTTTGAATGTCGTAAAATATGACTTTAAATGAACGAATTCTTTGATTTTATGTTCAAATTTCTGCAAAAATTTGGCATTTATTACATATTCTAGAAATTACCGAAAATCTGAAAGCAAGAATTTGTAATTACGCGAATTTTAAAGGATTATCAAAGGTTTTGCGACATCAGACGGCTACCACAGAAAGGCACTCCATTGAAAAGGATCTCTTTTGGAATTATTTCTTCCGTGTTTTTGTTAGAATTTTGAAGTATATTGTTAAGGATAATGGTTTAGATTGAACGAGATGAACTTGCTCTATGCAGCACATTGACAATTGGATCTCTCCTCCTTGTGGGGGCTGAAAAAATAGGGCATGATTCTTGTGGTTCTAATTTCCAAAACAGTCCAATTTTGACAAGTGCCAAATAAGGCGTTTATCAGCATTTACTTGAAGTTTTCGTGTGTGGAATTTTGTTTGATTGCTTAGACAATCTACCCAAGTGGTTTCTATGTCCAGGGCAAGCTTGAGACCCTCCTCAATTTGCGCTGATTGCAGTGCAGCGGGTGAGTTTTAGGTGTCTTCTCTGACGCCTTATTTATTTATTTTCTTAATGAATTTGACAGCTGGGCACTGCTGCCATGGCTTTCCTAATTTAGCAGAAGTGAAATAGCCTGACTTATTTGAGGTCAACTGGTAAAATGATTATGATATGATACTGGTCTGAATTAAATTTTAAAACTCAAATAACATTTTTATATACTGGTACTGTAGCCATTTCCATCTGTAGTTTTTACACTGGCTCTTTATTCCACTCGTATGCCTTTTCAATTGAATAAGTAGCCCTTTAAGGAATTGATTAACATTCGTTTAAAAAGGAAACATAAAATCAAATTCTATATTCAATTGTCATTTGTAAGGTGTAATCATAGTTTTCTGTATAATGTTACATTTGTTATAAGCTAGTATTACTAGAAATTTATTTCAATTCCAACATAGTAACTTTAATTCAAATTAGTTTTGAAAAAAGAGATAAATTTCAATATTGGCTTCTCTCTGTCCATCTATGAAATACAGTTGAAAGAAGTGAAATAATTTGAAAGTAAGGTATCAAGGAAGTACAACTTCATCATGTGGCAACCAGATGACACCATTTCTAACAACTTGATGTTTCTTATCTCTGGCTGAAAGAATTCTGACTATTAAGATCTGAAAAATTACTAAGATGTTTTTAGTTTATCATAGAATTGATAAAACATGTTGATAAAGGTACTGATGTACTAATAAAACACATGAAACTACTAGAAGTATTATAAGCTTACTAATGAATATCTACCCGGTACTTATTATTTGAATGGTATGGCCTACTATAATAATATAAGCTTATACCGGTAATAAAAGAACTGGTACCGGTACTTGTGTTTGGCTGTGCAAGCTAGCTCTGTTATGTACAACACTGCCCATACAGATATATAGATATCATCTATCCTCCCACGACCCTCCTTAAAAAATATTTAACCTGTTTTTTGGTTTCGTCTTCATTGGTCTATAAGATTACATTTTCTGGTGTTCTTTATTGCACACTGCCTGGCGAGGTTTGTGTAATAGAATCATAGGATTTAAACCTCCATTTGATTTTGATTTCAGATTGACCTGGGTGCTTAGGTGTTTTCCATTTGTAATTTGACCTGTTTTTTTTTACTTGGCACATTGCTTGGCAGGTTTCGTCTTCATTAGACTGTAAGAAAAGTATGATGTAAAACTCCATTCGTTTTATTTTAGCTTCCATTTTCTGGTGACCCTCATTGCACCCAGCATGGCTTTATTTGTGTAATAGAATCGTGGGATTTAAAACTCAATTTGATTTTGATTTCAGATCCGACCTGGGCGTCTATAAATCGTGGAGTGTTAATCTGTGATGAGTGTTGTAGCGTTCATCGTAGTCTGGGACGTCATGTCTCCCAGGTACGATCTATTCGACGTGGCCAGTGGTCCCCCACACAACATGCTGTAAGTTTTGTTTTGATATTATACTATGTATCTTATTTATTCAGACATATACCTATTGGTGATTAATTAATTATCTGATTTACCTCAGACCTTATTCTTAAAAACTAAGTTATCTGATTGGTCTATCACCAAAATTAAACCTGATCTTTAGAGAACTCATCTATTTCATTAGAGCAACAACAATATTCATCATAATCAAATTATGACATAATAATCTGAAATTGTTTTTTGAGAATCTGTATATAGGCAAATTATTGTTTCAAAGCCTGTTGATTATTATTTATAGATGCTGTATCAGCTAGCTAATCATGGTGCTAACAATATCTGGGAACATCAACTTAAAGACCCCTCTCAGAATAAACATGGTCGGAAAAAACCTGCCAGTAAAGACCCCTTACAGTAAGTATGTCTTTCATCTCCAAATGGGGTAGGGGCATGGACGAAAAAAAAACTTACTAGTAAGGATCTGTTTCAATATGAAAGAGGGGTGACCCTCACCCAAGAAGGATTTGACCCATGGATCTTAGTTATTTTCTATCTATTGCTTTCTTTACAATTTACCTGCTCCTATTTGTAGTTTAATCAATGCTGATATAAGTTGACCTTATGTTCTCTTTACAGTCCAAATAAAGCTGATTTTATTAGAGCCAAATATCAGTTTTTATCCTTTGTAAATAAACAGAAAGAAAGTGATGTGAACTCTATAGATGATGTTAGTAAGGTGAGAGAATAATTTAGTTTTAAGTCTCAAGATTTTTTTTTTATTAAGTCTTAAGTAATATTTGCATCTACGTTCTCCACAATATTACATAAATTGGAATTCTTACTTAAAATGGTGACAATTTTTTGTGTTATTTTCAATAAGCTTTAAATCTTTTTATTTTAACTTAAGTTTATTTCAAAAGAGTATGAGAGTAATACCAGTCCTGGCAAAATTTCCGGCATTGCACACTGCATGGCGTTGCCTGTCTTCTTTATCACAATTTGTATTTCTATGTATTAAAACTATTTCATTCTGATAGGAGACTCAATGCTTACTTTTGTTTTCAATTGAATATTTGTTCTCATTCTAGGAACTTCACTCCAGCGTGAGGACCAACAATGTAGAAACGTGTCTTCGGTTGTTATCGAAGGGGGCTGATCCCAACTATTTTCATAAGGTATGTTCTTCTTGTTTTATTTAAACCTGTCCTATTTTGACCCTTAGTTTTAAATGTTTTCGTGGAGCTGATTTTATGATTGTCTTTAGAACATTTAATTTTAAATTCTACCATGTTGTTTTGAATCTTATAAAGGAAAAAATGTTTACTTAGTCATTTATAATTCATATACTTCCTTTTGTGAAAAGTTCATTAACCACTGTATATATTGCCAATATATTGTTTTGGATTTCGAGTTTTGTTTTGCCGTATAAATTGTTAGTACTTGGTTTAATTATTATTTTTTGGGTAATCTTCAGTCAGTGGCTGTGTGGTTGTGTAATTGTGTACTTATTTTAAATTCTATGATTGTTACAGGAAAAGGGGAACTGCCCCCTACACGTGGCTGCCCAGGCAGGGCAGGTAGCTCAGGTTGAACTTCTAGTCGTTTACGGTGCTGACCCAGGGGCACTCGATGTAAATAATAAATCACCCATAGATTATGCCAGGTACATTATTTTTTCTGTCTGAAATTCCTGGTTTCTTTTTGCATGAGAGAAGCCATTTTCACCATGCATGAAAGGAATGTATAGACTGTTGCATAGCTCTTAAAAGATAGAGGAAACAGCCCAGCCTTAAAATAGCCAATAACGAGCCCTATATGCAATTTTTAAGAGACGATTTTATTGTCCAATCATCTGGTTGTACACTTCAATCAATTTTGAATTGAACTACCTATTTAAGAAAGGTTTTTAATGAATTAACGGAACTTTTACCTTGCTTTTAGAATTGGTGGTTTTAGTGATATAGCAGATCGGTTGATAGAATGTCAGTATGAATTAACAGATAGACTTGCTTTTCATGTCTGTGGTAGAAAACCAGGTGAGTTACTTCCCCTTCCCACTTCTTGTATCAGGAGAACTGTTCCACAACATTTTTGAACACATCTATTAAAATTTTAAACCTTGCATCATGGGATTTCGTGAAAATTCTCGATATATCTTAAATTTCTTTTGAACAAGATTCGTCTAATAAGGTAAAGGCATTTGTGAAAAAAATGATACACCTGCTTTTGAACAAAAATGGCGTTTGTTAAAATTATGATGTTTTTTCTTTCCAGATCATCGGAATGGTCAGAATTTTATTATACCAGAAATCGGAGACAATAGTACGTCTGATTTATCAGAACTTGATAAACAGGCTAAAAAGAAATTACAGGCAGTAAGTCAAAATACTATTCTGTTTTGATAGGTTTCCATTTCTCTAATCTTCCGTATAACGTATGGAACTCATTAGTTCTTCCAGCTAGTTGGAAATCTTTCCTTTTTAGCCATACGGGGCATATTTCTTTACTGTCTGAACTATTAGTCCATTAAAATATTAGATTTTAGACATTAATCTTACATGAATTACAACTTGGGCTCTTTAAATTCCTGTCTACCAGCTGGTCCTTTGTCAAATCTCTTAGCATTAATCTTACAAGAATTACAACTTGGGCTCTCAATGATCCTGTCTACTAGCTGGTCCTTTGTCAAATCTCTTAGCATTAATTTTACAAGAATTACAACTTGGGCTCTCAATGATCCTGTCTACTAGCTGGTCCTTTGTCAAATGCTTTTGCCTTTTTAGGATACCAATTTACAGCTGGGTTAACTGAAATAATGAGGAAATGTGACTGTCAAGATTGTTGATGTTACCATGCAAATGACATCAAGATTCCCACACTCAATCCTCGAAAAATTTACTGTATATTTTATATTTGTTTTTCAGCTGACTAATCATCTATTTGAAGAGTTAGCTATGGATGTATATGACGAGGTTGATAGAAGAGAGAATGACAAAAGTACGTATAATAGTTTTGTACTCTTTTCTAGTATTTGCTTGTGTTAATATAGGGGTAGAAAGCCGACACTTGGACGACTCCTGGGAGCACTTTCCATGGCATAAAACTTCTCAGTGAACAATTGAGGACAGATTTTTGTTCAAATGAGCTTTAGTTATTTTGAAGCAGTCTCTTTCAAGCTGATAATGGTGTTTATGTCATAGATCACAGTCAAGACCTGCATACATTAAACAAAACATTATCAGTTATCTTTATGGTTTAGTCTACTGATCACCATAATTTAACATTACAAATCTTGGCATACCATTGCTATTGTCAATAGTTTTGTTAAGATAAATTCTGTCATAAAGTTTCTACGGTTATATTAGGAATAATGACTAAGATTTTTTGTGTTTTTTTTTTCAGTTTGGTTAGAAACCCAGGACCATTCTGCAGTAAGTGATAGAACAACAGTACCCTTTTTACCTGTCAATCCAGACCTGTCTACCACTAGAAACCAGGTACGTCTTACAAATAACTGAACTCATTCAAACAAGCTAGTTCGGAACTATATGTGTGCATGCGCAACTTGCTCATTCCTACTTTCGCCTCGGAAAAGTCCAGGTCGTTTTAACATAGCAGTCTATGGAAAAGGATCTCATACAATGGGTTTACTACATTTACAATTGTCAGACTACCCTAGTAAATGGACGTTGTCTATTCAGAGACGAAAGTAGGGAAGAGTGTTTTTAAGTCCAAACTGACTTAAAGAGAAAACCTTGTGGACAACGTTTGCAAATTACACATATTTGTCCAACCTAGACTTGATCCTTCCCAAAAACGGACATTTGAGCTGGTTTGCCAGTCGTGTCCGATAAATACCAAAAAATCATCTGCTCGGTAACATGTTAACTCATTTCTGTTCCAGGGTCGTCAAAAATTAGCCCGATTCAACAAACGAGAATTCACAACATTAATTATTGATATATTAAACGATGCCAGACGCCGCCAAACTGGATTTACCTCCCCTGTCAATACACCCAAAGAACATAGTAAGTTGTTTTTACGTTTTGTATTTTAATTGTTTGCATTGCGGGGCTCTTGATTAGTCAGTTCTGCACGTTCAGGATTCATGGAATCAACCACAAGTTAACAGAAAGATTTGAAAGAGGGTTCAGAATTCATGTGCCGAAAAAAAATAGCTGTAGGCAGAATTCAAAATGGAGGATAAAGGAACAGAAGTGAAAATGGGGCATAATCTGTTTGATTTAAACCAGAATTGGAGCCTGTTTAGAATTGATCAATCGAGCACTATCATAGTTGTAACTTGTATTGATAGAATGAATGAGTTGTCAATTCCAGGGCTGGATATCTTATGCCAGTCATCTTTTCGACACTCCTCAACTTTTTAGTGAACCCTTCCACACGTACATACTTTTTGTAAACAAAATACAATAAACATATGACTGGAATACCTCAATATTTAAATTAGGGGTGTTTTTAATTGACTTTCAAATTATATTCAGTCATGTGTTTGAAAGGAGTTAGTAAATGATGACGAAAATGGATTTTTTAATGTACAGGAAGAGATGAAGCTGTTTAGAGAATTTTCAAAGCTGAATTATCCCCATTCTATTTTCTGACAAATGAACGTAATATTAAAATGTTTGGATTAAAAAAAACAAACTCCACAAGCAAAGCATGTTTTTATTTTAACATTAACAAAAGGTTACACTGTATTAATCACTTAATAAAAGCACTATATACTGTCATCACTAAATAGGCTCAATATCAAGCACATACAAAGTTTCAACAAATTACATCATAAAAATAGACTAATCACTGGAACTAGAATACATAATGTTTCAACAAATTACATTCTAATGTTTGGAGAGCTTATTTATGACTTGTTCACAATGTTTCAACAAATTACATTGCAATCTTTTGTAAAAAGTTTGGATTTCCACACAATGTTTCAACATATTACATAACTGTTTTCTTATAAAAGAAATTATCAGAGATTAGTTAAGACTTGGCAAGTTTAAGACATGCAGCAATATCATTTAACATAAACAAAAGGTTACACTGTATCAATCACTTAATAAAAGCACTATATACTGTCATCACTAAATAGGCTCAATATCAAGCACATACAATGTTTCAACAAATTACATCACAAAAATAGACTAATCGCTGAAAAGTTTTGGAACTAGACTACATAATGTTTCAACAAATTACATTCTAATGTTTGGAGAGCTTATTTATGATGTTTTCACAATGTTTCAACAGATCACATTGCAATCTTTTAGAGAATTTATATTTTTTTATTAAGACATTCCAGCAATGTTTCAACAAATTACATCGAAATCTTTTGGACAGTTTGGATTTTTTTTCACACAATGTTTCAACAAATTACATTGTTATAACTGTTCGCAAGTATGAGACATGTATCTTAGAATTATTATGATTAACGATATTTATAAGTTTAAGATTACGTCTTCATTAGTCTTCAAGCATCTATGGGCTCTCTCTTGTCTACCATAGCACTTGTGAATAAACAAAAAAAGCGAAATTAAATAACTTGGTTTACAGGCGTTAGGCAAAGCATGCTATACTTCCAAACCGTCTGGTTGGGTTAATCATCTCTTCATCCTTCCTTTCTTTTTAATTTTCTCCTCCGTCCACTTCAATTCGTCCATTTGTACGAATTTGTTCAACAAGTTCTCCTCTGTCTTTTGGCAAGGTTTTGAAATACATCTTCTGTTGGGGTGAATATTTATCCGCTACTGGAATCACGTCTCTGTAGCTCCAGTCTTGCCAGTGGAAATTGAACTTCTCTAATAGGTCCTTGATTTTTTCATCGGTCTGCAACACCTTTTGTGGTTGTTTGGGTTCAAGGTCACAAGTTGTGTCGGTGAAAATCACGCAGCCTCGTAAAGCCATCCATCCACCATATTTTGGATGTAAACTGACTCCATATAATTTTCTGCGTTTATTTTCTGGATTGTCAGATGGTGGATCATCTGTTAAATCAGATTGCTGATAATAATACGCGGCGCCTGCAACATGGCCTGCTGTCTGCACCAAAATTTTAGGACGTCTGCTGTGATGCATCTCAAAATCATGCATAATTTCTAAATTATTATCAGGAAATTTTGGTTTGAGATTTTGGAAGAGTTCGATAAAGCACTGGTCAATCAAGTCTTGGTGCTGCTCGATTTTTTCTTGTCGGCGTATGTAGGGCACGAAACATTTCTCAAACATTTCTGGGATGCTGATCACGATAAATACCAGCGTATCGTCATGGTAGGGCAGTTTATAATTCTCCTGGACTTTCTCGTTATACCAGCCAACTTTAAATGGATAAACTTCTAAACCTTTATCAGCAAAATGTTCTTCCAGTTTTTTTTGGATTACGTCAACTTCCATTTTGGTTATAGACATTGTACTTTCTTTAAAACCGTCGTTTACTGAAAATGAATAAATTGAAAAAATAAATGACAGAGGAAAATAACACATATTAATGATATGGAAAGCGTGATATTAGAAAATCTGTTTTCTTTATATGGCAGTGTCTCAAAAAGAGAGGAAATTGAAAGTGAAACTAAGTTTTTTTTTTTACAAATTATCATATTAAGATTATATCTGCTGACACAATGTAAGAGATAACTCAAATGTCATATTGCTTTGATAAAAACCGAATTATTTCCATACTGAATAAGTAGATCTACTTTGATAAGCTACATGACATTTTGAAAGCGAAGTATGATTTTGATGGTAAGAAGTCAAGTCTACCTTGGCCATGTACCGGAAATAAAACACACTGACGTGTTTCAATACAGTAATATAGTGATGGGAGAGTCCATTTTCAGTTAATAATGGTATCTTCCATTATTTATTCAGACAACAATTAATTTGTTGATTATCTCCCTTATGACCAGAATTTGCTCTCAGAGCTTTTCCAAATATTTTTGAATAGATTGATTGTTTTATAGATAAGAGGTCAAATAGGCATTGTTAGTATTTTGAAGGGATTTTCTCATATCTCGTCCAACCTCTTTTCTGGGAGGGTCCTGACCCTCCTGACGCCAGTGGCGGCACCAGCCTCCTAAGACTCAGGGTACAAATAAGGGGCAGACTGACTCAGTGGGGGGGATGACCGCTGAGTCCCCTAACTTGTGCCGCTGCTGCCTGGCACCTCCCTAAAAACACCACCTGCTTCTATTTATTTTTTAAGTTGTGTGGTTATAATGTACTGTAAAGGTATGAGTCGATATAAATTTTAAGATTAGACTGCTCTATACCTTGAAATTTAGCCTCTTTATGTCTTTCTAGTTCAAAAGTGACATTTTTGAACCAATTTATCTTGAAAAGTTTTTTTGTTAAAAACCGTTCAGCTTTAGAAATATCAACAATAGCATCATGAAGTGACATCAGATAGACTGCATTCTTTAGGGTGATTATGTTTTTATAAGGTCATGCTTCAGGGGGTAAGGATGATATTATTTTACGCCTAATGCTTCAGAGGGTAGGGGTAGGGTAAGAATTTATTGTGAGGTTTCTATTTCAAGGGATATTTTTCTATTCTAGCTATACAGCTTTTGTTGAGTTCAAAGTAAACATAGTAAAACAACCTAGAGGGTAGAATGAATAATGATATTCTTCAATATATCAAAATAGAGATAAGGTTATACAATAACACAGAGACTGGGTAACTTAGCCAACCTAGAGGGTGTAAGCAGCTCTCATCTATTCATACTAAACTATTGGGTGTAATCCCTCTCTCTCTATACTATAGCATTCTGTAGCAGTAGTGATAAACTTAATGAATGGTGCCAACCTTGAGGGTGTAAAAGTCTTTCTATACTATATTATACTGTAGCAGTAGTGATAAACTTAATGAATGGTGCCAACCTTGAGGGTGTAAAAGTCTTTCTATACTATATTATACTGTAGCAGTAGTGATAAACTTAATGAATGGTGCCAACCTGGAGGGTGTAAAAGTCTCTCTATACTATATCATACTGTAGCAATAGAGATAAACTTAATGAATGGTGCCAACCTGGAGGGTGTAAAAGTCTCTCTATACTATATCATACTGTAGCAATAGAGATAAACTTAATGACTGGTGCCAACATGGAGGGTGTAAAAGTCTCTCTATACTATATCATACTGTAGCAATAGAGATAAACTTAATGACTGGTGCCAACATGGAGGGTGTAAAAGTCTCTCTATACTATATCATACTGTAGCAATAGAGATAAACTTAATGACTGGTGCCAACCTGGAGGGTGTAAAAGTCTCTCTATACTATATCATACTGTAGCAATAGAGATAAACTTAATGACTGGTGCCAACATGGAGGGTGTAAAAGTCTCTCTATACTATATCATACTGTAGCAATAGAGATAAACTTAATGACTGGTGCCAACCTGGAGGGTGTAAAAGTCTCTCTATACTATATCATACTGTAGCAATAGAGATAAACTTAATGACTGGTGCCAACATGGAGGGTGTAAAAGTCTCTCTATACTATATCATACTGTAGCAATAGAGATAAACTTAATGACTGGTGCCAACCTGGAGGGTGTAAAAGTCTCTCTATACTATATCATACTGTAGCAATAGAGATAAACTTAATGACTGGTGCCAACATGGAGGGTGTAAAAGTCTCTCTATACTATATCATACTGTAGCAATAGAGATAAACTTAATGACTGGTGCCAACATGGAGGGTGTAAAAGTCTCTCTAAACTGTATTGTACTGTAGCAAAAGAGATATACTTATATTAGTGAATGGAGCCAACTTAGAGGAAGTCTCTCCTCTCTCTCTCTGTATTTATAACAATAAAGGTAGTAAAGATAGTGGATGGAGCCAACCTGGAGGGTGTAGAGTCTCTCCTGTCTCTCTCTCTATATACTATAACAATAAAGGTAGTAAAGTTATTGAATGGAGAAGAGTTTAGACCAATGAAAAGAGATATAGTTTAGTAGAGTGAATGAAATGTTTGTTTATAGAGTGGTAGTGTGTGGTTTATCTATATTTTACCATTAGTTCGTATTCTCACAGGATTTTCATGTGTTTTTGTCTTGAAAGGTAGGCCTAATTCTTAGTCCATTGACATACTTCTTGTGTTTTTGTCTTGAAAGATAGGCCTAATTCTTAGTCCATTGACATACTTCTTGTGTTTTTGTCTTGAAAGATAGGCCTAATTCTTAGTGCATTGACATACTTCTTGTGTTTTTGTCTTGAAAGGTAGGCCTAATTCTTAGTCCATTGACATACTTCTTGTGTTTTTGTCGTAGGACTGAATTCTTGTGTTTTTCTGTTCACATGCTATTTTTGTGTTTTTGTCGCTGGACAGATCTTGTGTTTTTCTGTTCACATGCTATTTTTGTGTTTTTGTCGCTGGACAGATCTTGTGTTTTTCTGTTCACATGATATTTTTGTGTTTTTCTGTGATTTTTCAAAAATAAAACTTAGAAGTTTCTGAAGATTCAGTTTTGTTGGTGGATGACAGGTCAGCGTCCAATGGATGTTGATATCACAGACTAGGTACTTGTTGTTTGTTGTAGTAGTTGGTAGTTGGTTTAAATGGAATGATTCTGTTCTGTTGATTTGGTAGTGACTTTACCTGTAACCAGTTTACCTGACAGCCAGGTAGCTCTATATATATATATACTAGTACTGAACAATAGAGGGTTATCTTTCTGTGTCTATTGTCTAACAACTCTACTGTTTTCTTTATTTAACCCAGTTACTGCTACATACAGCTACACTTTTACCTTCTCTTTGTTATTAGACATTGGTACATACATAGTGGACTTTTTTTTTATGATTCCTGTCTTCAATAGCCCACATGATGCAGAAAAGTAGGATGTAAAACTCCATTCATTTCATTTCATTTTTAATTACCCTAGATAGATATATAGTGTTTTACATTTACCTTCTCTTTGTTATTGTACAGTTGAATAAGATAGTGGGCAATTTCTTTTTAAATTTTTCCCCAATATAATCTTATGTTTTTTTTGACTGTCTATAGACAAATATATACACAGATACATGGATAGTGGATTTTCTTCACTAATTATCTGACATTGGTACTATTTTGATTGGTATATAGTTAATCTAAAACATTAACTATACAATTTCTTTCAGTAAACTTTGACTTACAACTTTTTGATTGCACAAACCTTGATTTTCAAACTTAAAACTTATCTGTTTTCATTGCTTTTCCCTTCCCCTCTGCCTTGTATTGATTTTTGGTTCTAATAGTCACTTTTGAATTATGTTACAGCATGAAAAACCCATTATTTTGGAAACAATATATAATCTTTGAAGTGATGTAGGAAGTTGTAGGAAAATTGTCTGGAAATGTGTTATAATATTTTACTCTGAGCTGTGAAAATATAAATATGAAATATTAATGAAGGTAGTAGTAAATTTAATGTAGCTGTCATGTTATAAAACTAAGATAGTCTGAATATACGTTACTTTAATGGTTTGTCATTCATTACACAAATATAGGAATTTTAAGGGGCCCTTACACTATAGTGTTTACCTGTTACGTATTGTAGTGAATAATGAAAGTGGCCATGAGTATCTCACTCTTACTCACAACTCAATTACATGATAGTTGCGTTTTTTTTTTTGTAAACAATATTTTATTCCTAAGAAAAGGATTGGAGAACAGGCTTACGCCTATGAAACCTCATCTCCCAGTTGCGTTCATAACTAATATGCAACCACACTCACTTGATGATTTCTATGGTGTGAGAACCCTTTAAGTTGTAACATTGTAGTAGTGCTACGAAAGCACAGGCACAGGCATAACCTAGAGAGTATTGTTTGATGGTAAAGCATTTTACATTTTCTTTTGAAGTGTTTGCAAATTCTTTTGATTAAAATCCGTAATTTGAGGCAATTTAATAGATATGATAAGTGGAAAATTGATTTTATTAAAATTTTTGAAATATGTGTAGTATGGTTTAAAAGATAATAAGAAAGTTTTATTGAGTGTGGGCGGTGCACAGAGAATTTATTGAGCTTGAACGCTTTTAAGAAAATATAACTATATATGAAAATATTTTGCTGTCAAATATTTTTATTAAAAATATCTATAATACAAAAAGGGGAAAAAAAATATTAGGCCATACATTAGCGATGGACATCCAGATCAAATTATTAGTTATTGATAACTCAGGTTTAAATTAATTTGGGGTGATTTTGATTGATTGATGTCAGTCTTAATGATTTAATATATAAGAATATAAACTAGATGATTATGAATTATTTATTTTGAGGTAGCGTAAGTAGTAAGATCACTTTGTAAGTCTGTCTTGTATAGTTTCATTTAGATATTTAATGTTTAAAACTTATTATTTACTGTTAAGATGAGATGAGATTAGTTTCTTATTTCCTTTTAAAAATACTGTATTTGGAGGACGAATAGAAATACATTTTTTTGTTGTTTTTTTTTATTAAAATGGATTTTCGATGGAATAGAAAGTTTATGGTGTAACTCTAGGATGTTTTACTTTAAGGTACCAATGTATTACTATGAGCTAATTTATTTCTCAATATTTTATATAAATCAATGCATTTTTTAACATTGGAAGAAAAGATTGGCATTACTTCTGTTTTGTTTTAAACAGGGGTATGTAAAAACATGTCTACTTTACCTTAAAGCTTTGTATAAAATTGAATAATGATGTTAAACTGTACAGGAGCTGTCTAAAGACAGACAGATACACCAGATGTTTATATTTTTTACATGGAGAAAATCTCGTGTTTCAGTCTCTTATCTTATCTTGTTAGATTTCATGTTTTACTCCTTTACTTACTAATTACTTACAGATGCTACTGGCAGGGCTGTTGTGATGTTTGTATCTACCAGTCCTGTCTGACCAGAGCTCTGTATTTGGGGATGAAAGTCAACAAAAGGACAACTTGCGGAAGATTTAAATAAACTATTACTACCTTTAAACGATAACATTTTATCAAACATAACCTTTCCTATAAAATATGAGGTTTGATATTTACAAAATTGTCGAATTTTATTTAATAACTTTGTAGTATTTAGTAGCAGTTTTAATTTCTTTATCTTTTTTTCTATGAACTGGTGGTGATTCATTTGAACTTTATTTTAAACTATTTGGTAAATGTTTAAATGGTGAGACATGATTATTCATATGGTAAAACTTTAATCATCTTTTCTGAAGTTGATTAGGTTAGTTTAAAAAGAGACATAGTGAGTCAGATGAGTGCTTGTTTACTTTAGAGATAAGGGACGGAGGAGAGGATTGTTGTATCTTAGGAGAAGGTAGAGGATGGGGACGTTTGAGCTTGAAGCTATATAGTTGTTTTAATGAATTTAAGCTTCATTTCAGCTATCTGTGGCACTTTTAAAAATCCAAATATGATGTCTGGTTCCCATGCAATTCTATTTCTAAAAAACTGTTTTTTCACTTTTTGGCTAATAATTTTCTAGGGCCGCTGTAATGTCTATTTTTGACAATGGGCAATGTTAGATAATCAATCCCTGGCATCTTCCAGAATTGAATCATGAAAATTTAGATTGTCTTTAAGTTTACAGATGGCTGAATCTTCTATTTCAGACTGCTAACTTTGACCATGGGCTGTCCATGATAAACTTTCCCTGGCATTTTCAGAATTGCATCATGAAAGTTTAGACTGACCTCAAGTTCATAGATGTCTATAGAGTCTATTACAGAAGACTATATCCTATCATGGTTATTATTTTACATTTTATAAAACTGTAATGGATTTTCCATGTTAAAAATTTATAAATAAAAGAAAAATAAAGATGACTGTTATTCTACTATTGATTTGAACTTTATCTCTTCATTACATAATACTTCCATTATTTTCCATTTTGAATCTTTGTTTATGTTATAGACTTCATCATTCAATGTTTTGAAAACAATACATCTTTGTAAAGTTAATCAGTTGTGAAATTGGATTCCTTTAAGTCAATATGATTCATGCATACTTGCTTTTCCTGTAGAGAAACTTTTAAGTTCAGCTCTCTTATGCCATAAAAACAACAAGTAACATTGTGATTGTGAGCTCCAGTAAAATTGATTTGGTATTTTAGGTTGTAACAATGCGGATAAGTAATGTTACGAAGGCACAGGCATGCAGGCTTAACATGTAGTATAGTAGTGGACTCCTCCAAAGAGAAGTACCATCAGGTGTTTTGAAAAGAGTAAGCATGGTGATGTTATGTCAAATTTTCTAATTGTTACATACCTGCTTAATCACCAGCCTTCCCAGACTGTGGGTACAAATAGGAGGCAGACTGACTCAATGGGGGGACAACTGCTGAGGCTGAATTCAAATTTTGGTTACTCTGTGGTGGTGTTATAGTCAAAAGCCTCTCATAGAGCGTCTTAGAGGGTTTTTCTCAAGAAAATTTGAGGAAAAATGAATTGATTCTATGCATTCTGACACATAATATGGAGAAAAAAGGTAGACATTTAGATAAAGTGGGGGTACAATTGGGGGTGTAAACCACTTGCCAAACCTCTGTACCCCTACTGGAGCAGCCACTGTCTTTAAGCTTTAAGGCTGATTTTTTTATCACATCAATATTCTAGCTGCCGAACTGAAGCTGTTCAATAAATCAGTTAAAGATAAAAACTTTCTAAAGGTTGAAGTAACAAGTTAACTGAGATTTTACTAGACAAGAAGAAGAAGGAAATCAATTTTAACGAGTTATATAACAGTGACTATAAAATAACAGTGTATAGAGAGGCAGGTTGATTATTGATCTTAACGATTCTAGTTGACACTCACTCACTCCTGGTTTGAATTGTCTTAGACATTGAAACAGTTCTGTGATTGTGTAAGGTTATGAGACAGTTTTATGTTTAAGTTGGAAAAAGGAAATACTGTTTTGTTGAGCTATGAAAAGTGGAATGGAATTCTCTTAGACATTGCAACAGTTCTGTGAAAATTATGTAAAGTAATATGATGTAGTTTTATACTGTTTTTTTTTCTGCTGTTATAATGAAAGATAAAATTCTAACTTGAAAACAGACTTGAGATTTCATAGACTTTGAAACAGTGTTTTGAAAATTGTGAATGGTTTGTCTGCTTTGAAAATAAGAATTGAATTATTAAAGACACTTAGTAGGAAATATAGAATGCTATTTCGCCTGAGCTTTGACATTGGAATTGAATGGAAACATTGGTATGAAAATGGTGTATAGTTTTATAAGAGATACTCTGTTATAGAAGCACTGGCCTAGGTCAGTAGGGACTGTGGATTTCAGCATTGGAATACATCAATTTAATAGGAAGTTACCTACTTCTGGAGAGATTTACAAGATATGGTGAAAGATTATGTATGTGATGGTTTCATGTTTTGATTGAAAATATGAACTGCTATCTTACAGAAAAGGAATTAGTTTTTTGAAGATTATGTAAGACTCTGTGAAAGATTTTATTGTTTAAATCTGAGATATCAGATGCTATTTTGCTGAGCATTGAAATTGGAATTGAAATCTTATAGATGGAAACATTGCTTTGAAAATTGTACAAGGTTATATAACTATATTATAATTCCATACTGTAAATCTGGATATATGGTTTATTTTTTATGCAGGTTAAAAATCTGCATTTTAATCAGATAGGGAAAGATAAAATGTTTTACTCTGAACTTTTAAACAGACGTGTAATTCTCAAACTTGGAATCTGTGTTTTGTAAATTGTGTATGGTTTTGTCTGTAATCTAAGTTTAATCTTATAGTGATTAAAACAGTGCTGTGGAAATTGTATAAGGTTATATATTTAATGGAGTTGAAATCTGTTTTACTCAGCTTTGAAAGATGAACTGAATTGTTATAGTGATTGAAACAGTGCTGTAAAAATACAATACAATTGAATTGACTTTTGTAAATCAGCTGAATCATAAAATTCAAGAAAATGGATCCTTGGTGAAAATTTCATAGCACTTACTAACTGTGTTAACTGTTATTTTATGATTTCAGCTAAAAATCTTAGTTATATTTTTTGTTTTTCAGCAAAAATTTTAGATTATATTTTCTATTTTCTATAAGTCTATAAATTATGATATTTTATGTTTTTAGTTTTAAGTCTAAATTATTATGTTTTCTATTTACAGCTAAAAGTCTAAGTTATATTGGATTACTACCGTCAAGTTTATCGCGGATATCGAAAGCCAGTGCGTTTAGCGATGAAGAGCCGTTGTATGACAGTGTAGCATCTGATGAAGACTATAGTTCTATTGATACTCACAGTGTCCAGTCTATGAGGGTGGAGATGAAAAAAGACAAGCCAGCAGACGTAAGTTGAACTTTTTGAAAAGATATTAATTTAATTTAATATTTTTAACAAACTTTAGAAGAGTGTTTTCCGAAGCACCTTAAAATTGTCCAATCAATGGTCTTATTCTCGATAAAATCCTGATTTAAGAAACACAGTAATCTGATTGGATAATGTAACTAATTTAAAATCAATTTTAGTGATTGACCAATCAGATGACTGGAACACTAAAATCATCTTAAGTTAAGTTTTTGAGAATAAATCCCCAGGTGTCTAGAAAACAAATACGATAGATTTCCTATGATGGACAATTATTTAAGATGGATAAGGGTTGGTTTCTTATCACCGCCTATGAATTGAACAAGGAGTCAAGGAGACAAAATTTTAACACCTGCTTTGAATATTTGTGCTTAGTTAGAAAAAATTAGTTTTCAATGTTGTAGCTTTGATTTTTGGCGATTTTCTTATGTTTTAATGCAAATCAAAGAAAAACTTAGTTGAAATTAATAAGACTTCTTAATGACTAAAGCCTTTCATTGAAATTAGAAAAACCAGGAAAGCAAAAATTGGCATATCTCTGGCCAAAGAAGGGAATTGGAAAGATTAATTTGCAGCATCTTTTTGTTAATATTGTTAATATGAAGTTCTTATTTATATATTATCAAATCTTATTTGATTTTCAATTTTCTTGAAAAAAATTAAATGTAGTACTTAGTCTCTATTTATGTTGCTTTTACTTACAATAGGCTTTGAGAGGTACCACTCCTACCTCCATGATTTCATTTACAGAGGTGAGATTACTGGGCTTGGTTCTAGTTTGATTATTCTCACACCACCCCTCCCCTTTCTCCGCCCCCTGCCCTCAAAACATCACTTTAACACCCCAAAAATTCTAATCTTTGTACTAACATTGATGTAACATCCAGTAACAATATTTAACATGGCTTGTTATTATTTTTTTTAAATTTGGCTATGTTTAATTCCGTACACCCTAATCATCCCTGCCCTAAAAAAACAATGAACACCCTAAAAAATACCAAGCTAACATTTATATTAACCTACTAATGAAAAGATACAGTTGGATTGCGTGTGGTTAAAATTATTTTAACATACAACCCTTCAACATTGTTGTTAAAATGCTGCTATACATTGATATGTCTGGTTTAATAGCTTCCACTTTGA